CCTTACACTAAAATTAACTCCAGATGGATTAAAGACTTAAACATAAGACCTGGCACCATAAAAACCCTAGAAGGAAATCTAGGCAAAACCATCCAGGACATAGGAGTAGGCAAGGACTTCATGAACAAAACACCAAAAGCATTGGCAACAAAAGCCAAAAGAGACAAATGGGACCTAATGAAACTCCACAGCTTCTGCACAGCAAAAGAAACAGTCTCTAGTGTGAATTGGCAACCAACAGAATGGGAGAAAATTTTTGCAGTTTACCCATCTGACAAAGGGCTGATATCCAGAATTTACAAAGAACTCAAACAGATTTACAGGAAAAAAATAAGCCCATTCAAAAGTGGGCAAAGGATATGAACAGACACTTTACGAAAGAAGACATATATGAGGCCAACAATCATATGAAAAAATGCTCATCGTCACTGGTCATCAGAGAGATGCAAATCAAAACCACATTGAGATACCATCTCACGCCAGTTAGAATGGCGATCATTAAAAAATCTGGAGACAACAGATGCTGGAGAGGATGTGGAGAAAAAGGAACACTTTTACACTGTTGGTGGGAGTGTAAATTAGTCCAACCATTGTGGAAGATGGTGTGGCGATTCCTCAAGGCCTTAGAAATAGAAATCCCATTTGACCCAGCAATCCCATTACTGGGCATATATCCAAAGGACTATAAATCGTTCTACTACAAGGACACATGCACACGAATGTTCATTGCAGCACTGTTTACAATAGCAAAGACCTGGAATCAACCCAAATGCCCATCGATGATAGACTGGATTGGGAAAATGTGGCACATATACACCATGGAATATTATGCAGCAATCAGAAATGATGAGTTCGTGTCGTTTGTAGGGACATGGATGAATCTGGAGAACATCATTCTCAGCAAACTGACACAAGAACAGAAAATGAAACACCGCATGTTCTCACTCATAGGCGGGTGATGAAAAATGGGAACACATGGACACAGAGAGGGGAGTACTAAACACTGGGGTCTATTGGGGGGAAAAGGGGAGGGCCAGTGGGAGGGGGAGGTGGGGAGGGATAGCCTGGGGAGAAATGCCAAATGTGGGTGAAGGTGAGAAAGCAAACAAAGCACACTGCCATGTGTGTACCTATGCAACTGTATTGCATGCTCTGCACATGTACCCCAAAACCTAAAATGCAATTAAAAAAAAAAAAAGAGATCATTTAACATGACCACATAGGATTCATCCCAGAGATGCAAGGATGGTTCAGCATATGTAAATCAGTCAGTGTGATACATCATATCAACAGAAGGAAGGATCAAAATCATATGATCATTTCAACTGATGCTGAAAAAGTATTCAATAAAATTTAATATCAGGTCGTGATAAAACCCTTTGAAAAACTTGGTATCACCAGAGGCTAACCCTGTATTTTCTCCTGGAGAAATGGTTCAGTATTCTGTAAATCAGTATTTACAGCTACTTTATAGAATATAACTGCTGCAAATAACAAAAATCAGCTATATTTTTATTGCAGGAACAGTTGGAGGGGTTGAGTCTTATGGGTAATTTCCCTCATGCTCCTCTTTTAGCCTTGCCATTTGTAAATTTCCATGTGAGAGAATTCTGTTTTAGGAATTGTTATCTTTTGTAGAGAGCCAGTTTTTAATCTCTCATTGATTTTAAATAAGTCATAATTTTGACTTGATAGGTTATTTCAAAGTTACAAATAGTTTTAAATCAAGGTCTTACTTCTTGTGAAAACTCGATTATCTCTGCTCAATTTTAATGATGTTTGATAAAGATAAACTTACAGTCTTTTGAGGCTATAAGTGTTTAATAATACCCCAAATGCTGATACTTTTTAAATATCTTATTTGGTTTTCTCAGTTTTAGGCTGGTAAATTTTTTTCTGTAAAGGGCCATATGATAAATGTTTTAGACTTTGCAGGTTGCATAAGATCTCTTGTCACATATTCTTCTTTGTTTTTACAAATCTTTAAATATATCTTTTAAAAACATTTTTAGCTTAGAGTCCAGGCCAGAGTTAGCCCAGAGCTGTAGTTTGCCAATCTTTGTTCAAAATTTTTCAATGTGCTATACTATCAGCTTTCCCTCTTTAAGATGACATATCGGGTCATCTTAAACTGGTGAAGGGACATCTTAATCTGGTGAAGTGACATGTACTTCACCAGCATAACCTGTACTTGACGATGCCCTAGTGTGCCAGTCATCCTGATTTCTTTTGACAAAAATTGCTACCTTTTTTTGTTTGGATTTAATAAATCTGTTGGATAGATTTTATTGTTGTCTCTCTTCTCACATCAAATACATGTGAAATGAGGAATAAGCGCAGCCATTTAATTTCTATATTCAGCAAACAGAAGGAATGGGAAATTAAACTTAATTGCCTATGTATTGAGTATAAGTCATTTTAATATAACTCCTTATTTAATCCATGTGATAATCATAAGCAGGATGGCATTCCTATTTTTTCAGATATTTAACCTAATAATAATCAGCTAACCTAATTAAGACCTCACTGTCCACTAGAAATTTCTGCAATTATGTACTTTTTTTTTTAAATCTGTGCTCTACATTATGGCTGTTGAGTACTTGAAATGGGACTAATGTGACTGAAGTTTTTATTTATTAATGATCTTAATTTCAATTTAAATAACCACATGTGGCTTGTAGTTGCCATACTGGGCAGCATAACTTGAAGAGCTTAAGTAACTTGTTCATGTTTAGACAATAAGTTCTATGTAACTCCTAGCTTGTATATAGATATAGATATAGATATAGATATATAGAAATATAGATAGATAGATTATTTTTGTTTAGACAGAGTTTTGCTCTTGCTGCCCAGGCTGGAATGCAATGGCATGATCTCAGCTCACTGCAACCTCTGCCTCCTGGGTTCAAGTGATTCTCCTGCCTCAGCCTCACAAGTAGCTGGGATTACAGGCATGCGCCGCCACTGTCAGCTAATTTTGTATTTTTAGTAGAGACAGGGTTTCACCATGTTGGTCAGGCTGGTCTTGAACTCCTGACATCAGGTGATCCACCTGCTTTGGCCTCCCAATCTGCTGGGAATACAGGCGTGAGCCACTGCCTCTGGCCCTAAGCTCAAAATTTTTTTCCATTGTGCCATACTACTGTCTCAATAAAAGTCAAGGAATCTATGAAAACAGTAGGAAAGAATGGGAGGACCTTTATTAACTTACAGAGTAAAAAATGTGGAGAAAGTATTTAGGCAATTTTCAAGGTATATTAAATTTTAGGCTATGAACTCAAGTAGTAAATCCAAAATCTGGAACACTAGATCATAATTATCAAGCAATACCTATGATATTCTTTTATAGTCTACATATTATTATTGCATTATATGAAGTAATGTGAGTATACTCTGTGATCATTAGTGTGTTGAAAAAATTCAGATATTAGCTTATTTTGAAAGTATTTGTCTTATATCCAGGGTGTAGTACCTTAGGAAGAAGTAAAGTCTAGTCAGGTATTTCAGAAAAAGCTTTTACGTGTTATAAAATTGTACATCCTTCCTGTAATAACTTTAGCACTTTTATTAACAAAATTCCTCTGGTTCATGGGGAGCATACTTGTTTTATATTTAAACAAATCTTTAAATATCAGTTATGCTTTAAGTAATTTTGCTTGTAGTTTTAATATACATTTAATTTATACCTGACATAGGTATGGTGTGGAAATCTTGTGATTTCATTAATGAATACCAACTGGATATAAGAAATAAAAAAAGTGATGTCTTTAAGGGAAGCATGCCTAGGTAAATCATTCTGTGATGCTGTTGCCTATACTAGAATGAGGCATGGGAGAGGAGAATAAACAAAATTTATCTTCTTATTGTTGATTCTAATTTTACCCTGTATTTTTACAGCCCCAATCTCAATCAGAGTCCTGCCCAGTTTAAACAGGAAATTTCTTAACTGATTGATGCCTGTGTAGCTTCCCTTGCTCTTCCCAGAAAATATGGAAAGTAGTATCAGAAATGAAGTATAAGTACTATCACTATCATTGGAGAACATTTATAATTTTTTAGCCAGTAATTCTTCCAGGTGTTGCACAATTTTATTTGTGTGTAAAACAAGGAGACCTCTTTCCTCACAATGTCCTTTGTCAAATTCAAGAAACTTCTTTCCCATTTAAGAACCAGAATGTTAAAATATTTGTACCTTGGAAAGCTTTGCACTGGCCTTGCTGAATGGATAATCTTTGGGAATTTTTTTGATACCTGAATAACCCTAGAGCACTTTATTCTTAGAATCAGTAATTTTCCTGCATTCTTAATTCAAATCAAGTTATAGCTAAAACAAATATCACTTTTTGCTTTAGATTAAGCATGAAACAGGTAAAGCGGAATGCATTGGGAAAATCAGGAGCAAAGGATTTATAATAGAAGGAATTCATTTTTAGGGATGTTTATATAAATTATATTTCAAGATGCATCCTGCAATACCACTCTTATCCTTTATTTTCTTCAGAGCATTTATCACTTATAATGTACCACATAGTTTATTTATCGTGTTTATTGCCTCTCTCCTGTCTACTAGAATGTCATTTGTATGAGAGCAGGAATCTTTGTTTTGTTCACTGATGTATTCTAAGCACTGAAACCAGTCTGGCACATAATAGGTGTTCAATTAAAGTTTTTGGACTGAATGAATAGCAAGACCAATCCCACTCCATCCCTCAAATTTTAGTAATTGTTACACTGCTGTATTATTATGTAAAAATAATCCAGATAAATATATTGCTATATTCCTTATGAAGTAGGTAATTGACAGGTAAAAATAGTACTCTGCCATCCGGTATGAGAGGATAATATGTCTTAAAAATGTATGAAGTAATTTTGGAGTGTTTAAGTATTTAATATATTAAAGCAAAACCAATAAATTTCCCGAGATTCCTCCAGAATTTGTTAGGACATGGAAGATGGAAAGATTTTCAACTAAAATAGCGTTTCTGATATATCTTTCTCAGATGGGAAAACTGACAACCATGCCTGCAGGTCTGATTTATGCATCTGTAAGTGTCCATTCAACCAAAGAAGAGGAATCCAAAAAGCAGCTAGTGAAACCAGAGCAGGTAATTTGCCTACAAAGGTTTATGAACTTTGTATAATACCAAGATGACACAAAAGCTATATTTTAAAATTATCTTTACTCATCAAAAATTTCTTTGAAGTTTTTATTAGGTATATTTTATAAGTTGAGATAAATTGTTATGAAGTATCTTAAAAGGCAATATTTAACTCAAACATTTAAAATTCCAACTGGTGATTTTTCTTAATGAATAATCAATAAGTAGTAGAGGCTGTTAGACCTTGTAGGCTGTCTGATTTTTCTTTCTTGAAAAACTTATAAAAGTACATTCAGTATTAGGAAACTTGAGTTTAAGTAATTCATTAAGATCTCAGTTTTCGAAGTGACCTTAGCTATTTTGTAGATGAACCTTCTGTATGGCATTGTAATTCCCTCTATAGTAGGCACATGTAGTGGCCATATATCCTCTGTGTGAATAAAACTCTAAGTAAAGGAGACTAAGGAGCCCATTCCATTTTCTGAATTCTCTCATTTAACTTAAGGTTCTTCCTTATGTCAGACAGAAACTTGTCTCATAATAACTTCCACCTGTTGATGCTGTATCTCTTGCATTGGTACCATGCAGAAAACTCCTTCTCTCTTTCAAAAAACAAGCCTTTAAATATCAGTTATACTTTAAGTAATTTACTTCCAGGATAAACATTTTAAAGCATTTAGTTGCTTCAACTATTTCTCATACATCACACCTTTGAGTTCCTGACTGTCGTGAACAGCCTCTGCCAAACATGTTCAGGATAGTTAGTGTTTTCTTCTGGTGTAAGTACTTTGTTTTTCTTTTTAAAAAACATGTTGTTTTTTGGTGCCATGACTTGGATGTACGAACCAAGATGTGTTTTGACTGCTACATGATAGAGTCAGACTCTGATTTCTTCTCTTCTAGATATTATATTTTTATTAATGCTGTCTAAGATCACATTAGTTTTTATATTTGAGTGGTCAAAATCAACCACACTCATAAGCAGCTTTTGACCATGACATAGTAAGCATGTAGTTCTCTAAAATTCATTAAGCCTTTTTACATGGGCTACTGGTAAGCTATACCTCATCCCAGTCTGTACAGGCATTTGAACTTTTTGGATTCTGTTGAAGGTATATTTATACCTGTTTAAATTTTATCTTTTTGATCTGGCTTATCATGCCAGCCTGTTGAGCTGTCATTGTGGTTACTAATTCTATTCAACATTGTGCTTTTTATCTCTTCCCACTTTAAGTCACCCCTAAGATTTATTTACACACTTAATAATATGTTTTTGAATCAGGCCTGAATTTGAATCCTGATTCCACAACTGACTAGTTAGATGACACTGGACGGAATTCTTAATGGTGTCATAAGTATTCTGTTGTGTGAATGTATGACCATCAAATAAATGTAAAATTTTCATAAATTTTTGGAAATGTAGACTATTTCCAGTTCTTGCTATTCTAATCAGTACTTGTTGAACCACTTTGTATTGAATCTATATATACATTTATAACCATTTCCTTAGAATGAATTTCTAGAAGCAGAAGTGTAGGTCAAAAGGCACAAAAAATTGATAATATTGCTAAACTCAACATGCACAAAGGTAATATTCGTAAATTCAACCAAAAACATTTTCCAAGCTCCTCTTGTATATGTGTGAGGCACTGTTTTAATCACTAGGTAAGTTTATTTTCATTAACAGTCTAGGGTAGAGTCATTTCTCTCCACACAAACTGATTCTAAGTATTTTTTTATTTTTTCCTTTTATTAATCTTAAGAGGATGTTGGTTTTAAGTCTTCTTTGACACTCTAATATCTGGACAGTTCAAATCTGGGTAGGAAGATAAGTCCCTAATAGCTGAATTTAACTTTTGAAATTTTAAAATAAAGTCGTGCTGTTTATTATGGAATACACAGTATTCCTTGGTATTTATTGTAGTCCCCACATATATTTTATATATAATTTAATTGAATTACTTATTAAACAAAATTAGTTGCCAACTATGTGCTAGGGACTATACAAAAAGTCAGGATCTAATCCTTGAGGAATGTAGAATTTCTGAAGGGATGAAAATGTGACTTATGTGCAACATTCCTAGCTACTTCTGTTGTGTAAGGTGAGCTGTACTTCTTGTTTACATCTATAATAAAGCCTCTACTAAACCAGAATACTTTATGAATGACATGTTCTGGTTATTTGGTTATTTGAATCTTTTGTTAAATTTGTAACTTAACAGAAAATCCTATTTTAATTCAACTCTTCTCACTGAACATCTTTTTAAATATTCTCAGTGTATTCCTGCCTTATATGCCATCTAGTGAACATAATTAAATCTCCTTGTAATAGAAAACTCTGTAGGACCATGGGACAATCATTTTTTTTAACCATAAAATCTGCAGTTTTCAGACCAGTAAAATGACTGGCAATTGGACTACATGTATATAGACATCCCTGAACATTTCTTCTCCTTTTCCTTTTTTTTTTTTTTTGAGACAGAGTCTCCCTCTGTTGCCCAGGCTGGAGTGCAGTGGAACGATCTCGGCTCACTGCAACCTCAGCCTCCCGGGGTTAAGCAATTCTCTGCCTCAGCCTCCGAAGTAGCTGAGATTACAGGAGTAGCTGAGATTACAGGTGCATGCCACCATGCCTGGCTAATTTTTGTATTTTTAGTAGAGACAGGCTTTCACCCATCTTGGCCAGGCTGGTCTTGAACTCCTGACCTTGTGATCCACCCATCTCGGGCCTCCCAAAGTACTGGGATTACAGGCGTGAACCATGGGCAGATTGCTTGAACTCAGGAATTGGAGACTAGTCTAGGCAACAGGGTAAAACCTCATCTCTACAAAAAAAAACAAAAATTAGCCAAGTGTGGTGGAGGTGTGCCTGTAGTCCCAGCTACTCAGGATGCTGAAATGGGAGGATTGCTTGAGCCTGGGAGATTGAGACTGCAGTGAGCTGTGTTCATGCCACTGTGTTCTAGCCTGGATGACAAAGCAAGACCAAAAAATAAATAAATTAAAAAAATATAATCAGCAGGTTTTGATGGGGACAGAGGAGAGAGAATAAAAACAATGAGTGTAATAAAGTTTGGAATTGGGATGTGTAAAGAATAGAAAGGATAGAAACATGATGGATAAACATATAAGTAAATAACCTTGCCCACTCTGACACCAGTATGTCTACATATATCTCCCCTTTGTATGGGAAAGAGGAAACTTCCCTATTTGCACTGTACCTGCTTTTCATATATAAAATGTGTCTTTAATATAAAATATGCCTCTCTCATCTTCCTAATTACACATAGTTGCCAATGTGGTGAATTTAAGTCTAAGCATTAGTACAGAAAGAGAAACACTAACTCTTTAATCCTGGTATGAGTAGTAAAGAGTCATTTAATGGCAAAACAATGTTTCTGACTTAATACTAGAAAAACTTTACCAAACTGACATTGTCCAATGTTTTATATAGAGACATTTTTTTAATTAGAAAAAAAACTGGCGTAAAATTGTATGCATTTACCTTGTACAGCACGATGCTTTGAAGTATATATACATTATGGAATGACTAAATCTCTCTAATTTACATATGTATTACCTTAAATAGTTAATCATTTATGTGATGAGGACATATTACACCCACTCTTAGAATTTTCCAAGAATACAGTACAGTATTAAATATAGTTTCATGTTTGTTGTTGGTAAAAGACCAAATCCAAAGTTATTAATCATCTAGTTCCTTTGCTGTTGATTTGTAAACTTCATTCTTCCCAGTTATATCTTCATCAAACACGAAATTTTATAGGAGCATTTATACCCTAAATATAAAAGCAAAAAAAAAAAAGGTTTTTTTAAAAGGAAATAAGTCCTTACCTGCTTAAAGTTTTCATTGTTCTTTTCTTTATATTTGTTTTTATTAAATATTAATTAGAATCAAAAGGCTTTTCAAACTATGAAAAGTATGAATAATAATAATATGAACCTACCACTCAATTTAAAGGAAAGCAAAATCCCCTGTGTTCCCATTTCATTCCATTCAGAGGTTACCATTACCCTGAGATTTTACTATTATTCCCCTCCTTTTAAATTTTACCTTATATGTCTGTTTTGCTAAGCAGTATGTTTTTGGGGGTTTTCTTAGTAACATTATATTTCTGAAATTCATCTAAATTTTTCCATGTTGCTATAATTTTTATATTTACCCCCTGATTCCTAATATTTCTTTGTATGAATATACCCCAATTTATCCATTTTACTGTGAATGGGCATTGAGTTGGTTGTAATTAAATTGTTGCTGTTAATGTTATTATACATAACTCTGGGTGTGCAAAATAGTACTTTCTCTAAATATACATAGGAGTAGGACCACTGGGTTATACTATATTTGGCATCTTTTAATTTCTGGGTTTTAAATCATCTTTATAAAAAGTTTACTACATCATTCCTGTATTAAAGATGGTTTTTCAAAAGTATTTTATCAGCATTTCTAGTTGTTTTTAGGAAGGAGGCTGATGAGGATTCCTGTTCTGCCATACTGCCGATACGGACAATCCAGCTAGTTTGTTTTTGACATGAACATTTTTTGCTTGTAGCTCCCCATATATACTGCACCACCGCTCCAGTCTAAATATGTTGAAGAGCAGCCTGGTCATTTACAAATGGGCTTTGCTTCCATCCGCACTGCAACTGGTCGTTATATTGGCTGGTGCAAGGTAAGTAATTTCTGATAGTGGTTTAATAGCAGAGATTTCTGATTAATTGTTCCAGTTACCTATTGATGCAAACTAATCCAAAAACTTAGTGGCTTAAAACCACAACCATTATATTACAGCTTATGATTTTGTAAGTCATGAATTGGTCAGAGTTCAGACAGATGATTCATCTGTTGGATGTTGTATTGACAGAGGTGGCCCAGTGGTATTCACCTGGCAAATGAGCTGATCTAGACAGTCCAAGACAGCTTCATTTGCATCTCTGGCACCTTGTTCAGGATGGCTGGAAGGCTGGGTTCAGCTGGGATTATTGACTAGAATGCCTACACATGGGCTCTCAAGCATGGTGATCGCAAATATGTCATATATAACTTAACACAGGTAATTCAGGACTCCTAAAGACAGTGTTACAAATGGCCCTAGGCAGAATTTGCCAGGCTTTTTACCTATCCTCAGATATCCAAGAAAGCCACTTCTACAGCCTTCTATTGTTAAGTCACTAAGGCTAGCTCAGTTTTAAAGGGAAGGGAATTAGATGCCAACTGTCAATAGAAGTAGCAGCAAATAATTTGTTGCTATATTGAACCTACTATACCACAACTACATAGATTAAAGTAGTTCATCAAGCATTTATGTCACCTGGCATGCACAGCATCACTCACTTTTTATGTGAAGTTCTTAGATTACTTCTGAATATTTTCTTCTTTGGCTAAGCAAAATGTTTACTTGTTGGAGTTGCTCATAAGACCATTCTAACTACTGTAAACTATTGGGCAAAGTAGAATACCCCTTATTTTAATGCTTAGCCTTCAGTTAGCAATATCCATCAGCAGAGTAGTAAGCTGATAAAACACTAATGTTTCATTAGCATCACATAAACATAATTGTGTTAGCATCAATATCTCCAACATCAGTATCTTAATGTTGGTACAAGTGTTTTCATCATTCTTACGTAGTAACCATGTGACTTTTCCCCAAATATAGCCTGATTGTGAACCATTGTTCTTTTTTAGTTTCTATCAATTTTCTGTAAAAAGAAATCTAATGAGCTTATGAAAAATAATGTATGCTTGGGTGAAATACCAAATCAATGAACTCTGGTGATTCCAGATGATATTTTGAATATCTGATAAATACATGATGTTATTTTTGAAAACTAGTGGTTCTCGTATAATTCTAGTGGTACTAGTTGTACTACACACTATTAATAGTTTGATCTAAGAGGGAAATACTTTAACCAATTATGGTCTGAGTCATGCCCCTATGACTATATTCCAGTAGCTAGATGATTCAGACTTAAGCCTCCTGAGACGTAATTGTCCATAATGTTCTCAAATTTTTCTTCAGTGAGATAAACGTTCCTGAGAGGTCTTTAAAGATTGCTATTGTAACCATCATCCAATTTAAGCCTCAAAAGAATGTTTTATTCCATTAATATGCTGAAACAAATAGGCTGAAGAAAGGCAATTTCCAGTGCATTTCATCCTAAATGTAAACAACTTTTCTTTTCTAATTTTCCCCTAAAAATGTAATCTATTCTTTAAAAAATATGTCTGACTCAAATTTGTTCCACATTAAGCCTAGAAGAATGCAGAGCAAATTCAATTCCTACTCCTTGCCTAGTGTTTTGAAATTTAGGTAACACTGACTCCATGTGGTAAAAATGAATTCCTTAGCAGAGATAAGGAAAATTTTTTTTTTAAAGATGACTAATTTTCTTCCTTAATGGTTAAATGATTCCCAATCGACTGGTCAATAGGTATTTTAATTTTGAAGGTGAAATATTCTCAAGACAGTCTCTACAGAAAAGTACTTCAACGGCAGTTAGCATTTATGCTGATTTGTACAATTTTAAACCAAGATGAACCTCTCCTCTGCATCTCTCTGATAACCGTTAAAATATCTAAGACTAAATTATAAAACAAGCTATCTCTATAACAGAAACTTATTTCTTTCCTGTCTGATATAATAATCTCTATTTTCTCTGCTTTGAAAATCTCTTTTGTTCTTGTTTTTATCCCATGGTTTAATAGCAGCTAGTTCAGAGAAGGAGACCATATATTTGGATTGTTTTTTTTGGGTTCTTCAACAGAGTACTACATAACCAGGAGTAAATCATTTTGTGACTTCCTTTTTTTTCTTATGTAAGTGATGTAATACCTAGCATTCAATAACTATGTTTAACACTCTTTTGCACTAAAATAAATTGGTTGGAAACAGGTAAAATTAAAGATTTGCTTTAAAGCTTTAATTCCTCCAATAGACAAACATAGTTTTGATTTCTAGAGAATTTATGTTCCTGTTTAAAAACAGGGTAAACACTGGTCTATGCAGGATGATTTCTGTCCTGAGGTAATTTAGATTTTTTTTCTCATTCTAATGTACACTAAGAAAAGGGAGGAAGATGAAGCCCTTTCCTTTAGGCATTTTGCCCTTTTTTTCCTCCACAAATCATCATGTTGTTCCTATTGCATCTTTATTAATCAGATGTTGCTTCTAAACTGAAATATACCTGCCTTCTTACTTTATTTAAATTCCATTCATTTTTCTAGGTCATTATAAAATAATATGATAAATCTTTATTTTTTCAGTATCTTTTCTGCTCTGATTATTTCATAGACATTACATTACCCATTTATATGAGAAAAATGGTACAAATGTTACCCATGTTAAATAGAAGGAAAAGCAGAATATGAAAACTAAGTAAATGAGTATTCTCATAGTGAATACAATAAAAAGCTGGATTTAGATTTGGACCTAATGGTAAGTCAGCCTTTTAATATAATCTCAGAAATGCAGGCAATTTTATCTCATTATCAACAGCTTCAAAAATGCAGATGTCTTCCTCTCCTCCCCCCCTTTTTTTTTTGCTTAGGGTGTTTATGTCTTTGTGAAAAATGGGATAACGAATACAGTACAGTTTGGAAAAGGTAGGTGAGTGAATAATTAGAAATGTTTTATTGTGTTTTTAAATTGCATTGTTTAAATGCAAGAAAAATAAACTCAGTGTGTTATCCATTGTCATGCTTTTAGCTGCTCAGAAGGTACTCTGTATAGAAATTAATTGATAATAAAGCAAAGCAATAATATCCATTATTCACCAGTTATTATTGGCTAAGGTGTTGTACTAAACATTTTACATAATTTTTGTCACAATTCTGTTAGTATTGGTATTATATTTATTCCCATTTTACGGATGAGGGCCACTGAGGTTTAGAAAGGTTAAATAGGTTATTGAGGTACATAACTAGAAGTGGTGGTGCCAGTATACAAACTGAAGTCTGTTTTCACTACAAATTCTATATTATATATCATAAAGCATAAGTTAAAAACATGTCTCCATTGTTGCTAATTAGTTTAAGTGCTATTTGCTGTTAAAATACATTGTATTTTGCTGTCAATTGTTAGGAAATGTTTTAGCAATCACTAACCCTGGAATATTTAAGCTAATGGCTAAAAACCAGTTGCATTTGACTCTTTAGCTTGTTAATGGTGTTTAGCAACAGATATGGCTTTCTAATATTCTTGGCTTATGCCAGTTGTCATCATAAATATGTATAGGAGATAGAAAGATGAGCTAAAATTTTGAATGTTTCCATGAAGTTGATGATCTGTATTTGAATGATCATTATTTAATGTATTAGGAATTAATTCAAAATTATATTCCTCATCAATCTTGAGGAATAGGATTAGATATGTGATTACCATTAAATAATTAACCATGATAGAAAAGTGTACGTTTGGAACCAGAGACAATTTAAATATATAGAAAGCCAAGAAATCTATACTTTCACCCACACTTCATCTACTTTGCTCACTGATGATTGACTTTAACCAATAGCAGTGGCTGTCCTGAGGTTATTAGGGAGTAGTGGCAAGCAAGGTCTGGTAGCTGTGTGTATCCTTAAATTATTTTCAAAGGTCCTTAATAAAGTATCTATTTCAGTTCTTAAAGGAAGCCATCAGTGTTTGAACAGATAAAGGCAAAAGCATGTTCGTTATAGAGGTATAATACATACAAAGTCAGGAATTTACCTTATGGTAACCCATATTATGATGTGCCCTCTAGCATTACATTTCTTTATAGTGATAATCACCAGTATCATTAAGAAAATAAATATTAAATCAACTATGGAAGGAAAATTTTATTTCGTAACAGGTAAATCTAGTTTTTTAGGTTGCTACTCATATTGTCATTATGTATAGCTCTTTTGAAGAGTGTTTAAACCCTCCATTATTATCTTAGCAAGTCTCTTTAACCTTCCTACATTATAGCTGTATAGAATGTTCAGTGGAATTCAGTTATTTATGTTAACTTTTAACTGATTTCTTGAGATGCTTATGTCTATCTGAAGAGTCCTCCTCAAGATTTTCTTCCAAAAATGGGAGTTATTACAGTTTCAGGATTGGTGGGCTTGGTTTCAGCGAGAAAAGGTAAGGTTTTTAAAAGTATATTCTCTTATTCTCTCTTAGTGCCATGATATTATATGGTCAAGAGAAAACCTCATATGCTTTATTGAATATTATTTGAATAGGCTACTGTAAACATTTTAAATTCTGTATTCACAGCATGGTTACTTTTATAAGGACTTTGTGTTTTCAAAACTATAGCTATTCCAAAGGCTGTTCAGCATCATTAGTCATTAGGGAAATGCAGATGAAAATTAAAATGAGATACCATGTCAGTCCCAACAACATTAGTCAGGATGTGACCAAGAGAAAGTCAAACTTTGTCTCATATATAAGTATCTCTGTCTCAACTTTTTAAAGTACCTACAGAATATGGGTGGTCATGACTGGGAAAAATAGTTTGAGTGATTAGTATAAATGTTTGCATTAAGGTAAAACTCTCAAATTTTTTGGTAGTTAGTGACTCGTAAAGTCTTTTAAGAAAAAGTTACCTAGAAAACAAAATGACAAATTATAATTTTAATAGGAACAGCTAAATATTTTTTGAAAATTTATTTTAACATTATTATACATAGATTCATACAATTCTATCAGTTTTACTATATACACAGAGTCATGTAACATCACCACAAACCAGGATACAGAATAGTTACATCATTCCCAAAAGTGCCTCATGCAGTCTGTCTGTAGTCTCACCTTCTTCCTGCTTCTAAACCCCAGAAACACTGATCTGTTCTCTGTCACTGTAGTTCTGTCTTTTTGAGAATGCCATGTAAATGGAATACATAGACTGGCTTCTTTCACTCAGATTATCAAGATGGTTGCATGTGTCAATAGGTTGTTCCTTTTTGTTACTAAGTAGTATTCCCTCATATGGATGTGTGCCACATTTTACGTTATCACTTACCTGTTGGACATTTGGGTTGTTTCCAGCATTGGGTGGCTCATAATAGAGCTACTATGAACATTTGTATACAGGTTTTTCATTTCTCTAAGCCCTTACTAAGATAGTGTATTTCTCTAGTCACTAGCCATTTTGATCACCTTCCATCCAACCTTTGTCCACACTCCAGTTGCCAGACATTGTCCCCAGACAGAATTACTTATATTGGAAGGCACAGCTCTGTGCTAGTCAGGAATGTGATTCTTTTTTCGTTTCATATGAATTTTAAAATAGTTTTTTCTGATTCTGTGAAGAATGTCAATGGTAACTGAATGGGAATACCATTCAATCTGTAAATTGCTTTGGGCAGTATGGCCATTTTCACGATATTGTTTCTTCCCATCCATGAGCATGGAAAGCTTTGCCACTTGTTTGTGTCCTCTGTGAGCAATGGTTTGTAGTTCTCCCTAAAGAGGTCCTTCACTTCCCCTGTTAGTTGTATTCCTAGGTATTTTATTCTTTTGTGGCAATTGTGAATGGGAGTTCTTTCATGATTTGACTCTCTGCTTGCCTGTTGTTGGTACGTAGGAATGCCAGCACATTTTGCACATTGATTTTTATATCCTGAAACCTAGCTGAAGTTGCTTATCAGCTTAAGATGCTTTTGGTCTGAGTTGAGAGGGTTTCCTAGATATAGGGATCATGTCATCTGCAAACAAAGACTATTTGACTTCCTGTCTTCCTATTTCAATACCCGTTATTTTTTTTCTCTCTTGCCTGATTTCCCTGGCCAGAACTTCTCATATGATCTTGAATAAGAGTGGTGAGAGAGGTCATCCTTGTCTTGTGCCAGTTTTCAAGGCAAATGCTTCCAGCCTTTGCCCATTCAGTATGATATTGGCTTTGGGTTTGTCATAAATGGCTCTTAATATTTTGAGGCATGTTCCTTCAATACCTAGTTTATTGAAAGTTTTTAACATGAAGGGATGTTGAATTTTATCAAAAGCCTTTTTTGCATCTATTCAGTTAATTGTGTGGTTTTTGTCTTTAGTTCTTTTTACATGATGAATTACATTTATTGATTTGGATATGTTAAACAAGCCTTGCAACCCAGGGATGAAGCCAGATTGATCATGGTGGATAAGCTTTTTGATGTGCTTCTAGATTCAGTTTGAAAGTATTTTACTGAGGATTTTTGCATTGATGTTTATCAGGAATATTGGCCTGAAGCTTGCTTTATTTTTGTTGTATCTCTGTCAGGTTTTGGTATCAGAATGATGCTGGCCTCATAGAATGAGTTAGAGAGGAGTCCCTTCTTTTCAGTTGTTTGGAATACTTTCAGAAGAAATGGTACCAGCTCTTCTTTGTACCTTTGGTAAAATTCTGGTAAAGCCATCTGGTCCTGGGCTTTGCTTGGATGGTGGGCTATTTATTACTGCCTCAATTTCAGAACTTTTTACTGGCCTATTCAGGGATTCAACTTCTTTCTGGTTCAGTCTTAGGAGGGTGTATGTGTCCAGAAATTTATCCATTTCTTCTAGATATTATAGTATATTTGCACAGAGGTATTTATAGTATTCTCTGATGGTGTTTTGCATTTCTGTGAGATCAGTGGTGGTATCCTTCTTATCATTTCAGATTGTGTTTATTTGAATCTTCTCTCTTGTTTCTTTATTAGTCTAGCTAGCAGTATATTTTATTGATTTTTTTAAAAGCTCCTGGATTTGTTGGGTTTTTTTAAGGGATTTTTGTGTCTCTGTCTCCTTCAGCCCTGAAGCTTGGTTATTGCTTGCCTTCTGCTAGCTCTGTGGTTTGTTTGCTCTTGGTTCTCTAGTTCTTTTAGTTGTGATGTTAGGATGTCGATTTGAGATTTTGCTAGATGTGGGCATTTAGTGCTATAAATTTCCCTCTTAACACTGCTTTAGCTGTGTTGCAGAGATTCTGGTACATTTTGTCTTTGTTCTCCTTAATTTCAAAAAACATCTTGATTTCTGCCTTAATTTCATTATTTACCCAGAAGTCATTCAAGAACAGCTTGTTCAATTTCCATGTAGTTAAATTGTTTTGAGTGAGTTTCTCAGTCTTGAGTTCTAATTTGATTGTGCTGTGGTTTAAGAGACTGTTATGATTTCAGTTGTTTGCCATTTGCTGAGGAGTGTTTTACTTCCAATTATGTTATCAGTTTTAGAGAAGTGCCACATGGCACTGAGAAGAATGTATATTGTTTTTTGGGGAGAGGAGGAGTTCTGTAGATATCTATCAGGTCCACTTGATCCAGAGCTGAGTTCAAGTCCTGAATATCTTTGTTTCTTTTCTGTCTTGATGATCTGTCTGATATTGACAGTGGGGTATTAAAGTCTCCCACTATTATTATTATATGGGGGTCTATGTCTCTTTGTCTTTAAGTACTTGTCCTTAAGTACATGCTTTTTGAATCTGGGTGCTTCTGTATTGGGTGCATATAGATTTAGGATAGTTAGTTCTTCTCGTTGAGTTGAATCCTTTACTGTTAGGTAATGTCCTTCTTTGTGTTTTTTGACATCTGTTGGTTTAAAGTCTATTTCGTCAGACACTAGGATTACAACCTGTTTTTTCTGCTTTCCATTTGCTTGGTAAATTTTCCTCCATCCCTTTATTTTGAGCCTATGTGTGTCTTTGCACTTGAGACCTATCTCTTGAATACAGCACACTGGTGGCTCTTGTCTTTTTGTCCAGCTAGCAATTCTGTGTCTTTTAATTGGGCATTTAGCCCATTTTTATTTAAGGTTAATTTTGTTATGTGTGAATTTGATCCTGTCATAATGATGCTGGCTAGTTAATTTTGCAGACTTGTTAATGTAGTTGCTTCATAGTGTCATTGATCTGTGTACTTTAGTGTGTTTTTGTAGTGGCTGGTAATGATTTCTCTTTTCCATGTTTAGGGCTCCCTTCAGGAGCTCTTGCAACAAAGGCATGGTGGTGATGAAATCTCTCATCATTTGCTTGTCAGGATGCATTTTATTTAAAAATAGAGGTGAATAGCAGATATTAGAGTAATTTGTTCTTGCAGGCTTCTTTAATAGTAGTTAAACCAGGCAGAACTCTTGTTTTTACCTTCCCTAAACTGCAAATTTGCCTGCAAACATTCATTTTACTTTTTATAATATACCAGAGAGGCTATTCGCTTGTCAGATTAGGGATTGTATAAGCTGTTTCAGATAATAAAAGTACTTATCCCAATTTGAAAACCCATCTTCCAATTGCCCAGATCATAATTAAAGTCTAAGATACTCAAACAAGCATTTAGCATGCATATTATTTTGAACGAGCAGCCTAGTTATATGTATGGAACTAAACTATGGGTTAGAGTAGTGGATTTCAAACTATTCTGTAGAACCCCCAGTTTCATGGATGTGTTTAGTGATGGTATCGGGATAAAGGAAAAATCACACATCCAGTGTTTGATACAGAGCTTCCCACCCCCAAGTTACTCAGAGCAGCATCAAGTTTATAGGTTTTATATATTGAAGTTCCCAGGGAGATTCTATTTGAAAGATATTTTGAAAGGATTTTGGTATCAAAAATGATATGAAAGTAACTTCTGGATGATGTATAGTTAAGGCACTTTTGGATGTGCATTACTTAAGTCAAGTTACTTGAAACTATTATTCAGTATTCTAAATCAGTGACATGAAGGACTTATGCACCTGTTAAAGTCCTTAGGTGATTATTTAGTCGAGTCATTCACCTTCCTAAATACTCAATCAAGAAAGGACATTAAGAGAGAGTCCATTTCGGTTTAACATGGTGTCACAAACACAGTAGTTAATTACCTATATTATTATGCTTTATTAGATACTTGCAAAATTGTGGCTATAACTTTGGGTTTCATAGGACATGAAAAACACCTAGCTTTCAAGCAGAAGAAAATCATCAATTCCTTTTGTGTAGGAAATTGTCAGTATTTAGATTGAGAGTACTTTTGTTAAATTGGACATGACAGCTAAGGAGTAATTGAGTTGAGATCCTTAAGGGCATATTTAGCTTCCATCTTGATTGGTATAATTACCTAAAAAGTAATTTAACAGAGGGTGATGGCTTACCAGGGGAGCAAAGAAAGCATTACAGTGTAAGAACATCAAGTCTCTGGTGGCATCTATTTGGAGTTTAATAATTTATTTGCATTTTATAGGTTCTAAGTTTAAGAAAATTACTTATCCTCTGGGACTGGCCACTTTAGGAGCAACTGTTTGCTATCCAGTTCAGTCAGTAATAATTACTAAGGTAAGTTCTTTTTAAATAATAGCAACATTTCAGTATTTGTTTAAACTCTCAGTGTGACAATATTTAAATGTTGCACAGCACCTGCAACGTTTAATTTTAAGAGACATAGTTGATAACAACTCTTATGTTGGCCAAATCACATTAGCATCTCAGCATGGTAAATGCCATTCTTAATAGGATGAATTTGTTTAAATATAATTCAACAATGTAAAGGCAAATTTGAGGATTATGATCAGAGACACTGAATTAGAATTTATGAGGAGAATTACTGCTCCATTGTTGAGTATATAAACTTGAATTTTTATTTAAAGGAAGGTTAAAATACTAGCAGCTGTTTGGTTCAGCAGATTAACCTGACGTTAGAAACAACCAGTTGATAGATTGGCTTCTGTGGTTTCTGAAGGTAAAACACACACACACGTACAAACTCAATATATCAAAACCACTTAGAATTAAGAAACACCTGTATAAATGCTTACTATAGTTGTTTTGTCAGGTTCTTGTGAGCTTAAGTACAAATCCAAATTCTCTTAATGATTTGAACAGTTTTTGTCAGTATTTTATTTTTAACACATGTTCAGATTGAGAAGGAAACTTTGGGTTATGCATTTTTTCCCCTCATTTCCTTCTCCTAATTACCAACAGTTAACATTTCCCCAACACACTTGAAACAATGTGTAGTGTTAGCAGAAGGACTTTCTGTACTTGTATTCTCGTTAGTTCATCTCATTAATTATTAATGTAGAGAAAGTTGCCTATCAATATTTTGAGAATGTCATGGATATGGTGTACTATGTAGTTTGTAATGTGGTCATACTATAAAAGCTCATAATAAAGGAAAAGAGCATTATTCATTAAGTCTAGTTATATCTGAAATAATTGAGAACATTGTAAACTTATTTTAAAATTATTTCCTAATAATTTACATAGGAATTAACCACTTAATAAGATGCTGGTATTGAAAGAAAATGTTAAGCTCATTTAATTTAACCTTGGTCTTTTCTCATTTATCTATGGGGAAATTGTGGCCCAGAGAAGTTTCACAGTGACTGACTTCCCCAGCATCATAATGAGCTTCAGATTTTTTGCTCCCATGTTCATTACTCTTCCCAGTGGATGGTGCTTCCACTGATTCTTCTTTTTTCTAAGAGTAATGACATCATGGTTATTTTTTTACAAATTTTACCTGTTTATCTTTAGATAATTTAAATATTTCAGAAAAGTTAAGGAAGAAAACAACCTGCCACCCAAAATGCATCTATCCATATAAATATCCACATCAACATTTGACTGGAGTGTTCTTCTAGACATCTTACCATGCATACACAGAGATAGAAAAACAGATGTTTGAATAGGCAGATAAGAATGAGATCATAGTATATGTCTTATTTTTATTTTTAAAAATAAAGTATGAATTTTACTTTTACAAAAGGCAAAACAAAAGAATTGCTGAACTTCAAATAAAATTTTTCTAGTATAAGAGATTAATTTTCATATCCTTTGCCCGCTTTTGAATGGGCTTGTGAAAATGCAATAAAAAAAATTTAAAAAGAGATTAATTTTTAAACGTTCTTCTAGAGTAAATAATAATTGTTACTTAAATTCTTAGAGTTGAAATCCTTGCTTTTCTTTTGACTATATCACATGTAATATATGACAAATTCAAATATATAATTTTTTTTTTCAGTTGGAGTCTTGCTCTGTTGCCTAGGCTACAGTGCAGTGGTATGATCTTGGATCACTGCAACCTCCGCCTCCCAGGTTCAAGTGATTCTCCTGCCTCAGCCTCCTAAGTAGCTGGGACTACAGGTGTGCACTGCCATGGCTGGCTCATTTTTGTATTTTTAGTAGAGACGTGGTTTCACCATATTGGTCCGGCTGGTCTTGAACTGCTGACCTCATGATCTGCCCGCCTCAGCGGGATATCCCAAAGTGCTGGGATAACTGGCGTGAGCCACCACGCCCGGCCTGTAATGTTTTTCTTAACCCAAGATTCATGATGGACTTTAGAGAATCTGTGCACACCCTCCTAGCCAAAACTTTATGAAAAGTCATATGTGTACAAGAAAAACCTTATTTGTCATAATCAGGACCAGTAGTTAGCAATTGAAAATGTTAAAACAGTGATTTGTAAACAAATATAAATATATATACCCTCAATTTAACTTCAAATTAAAACATAAATGTCCTTCTTCAGCCTAGCCAATATTGTGAAACCCCATCTCTAGTGAAAATACAAAAATTAGCCAGGGCTGGTGGCGAGTGTCTGTAATTCCAGCTACTCATCGAGGCGGAGGTTGCAGTGAGCTGAGATCTCACCACTGCACTCCAGTCTGGGTGACAGAGTGAGACTCCATCTCAAAAAAAAAAAAAGTCTTTCTTTTTTCTCTATTTTGAAGTAGGGCGTTTCTTTGAGTATTGGTTTCCTGGTTAAAGATCCATAACATCATTCTAACCATAAGCCATATCTGTAATATGTCTTTTATAATTTCCAGATTAGCTTCCTTTAAAATAGAATGAACAGTTAAAAACATTAAAAAAATGATTAGTGCAGAATCCTTTCAGATGGATTTAGTTTATATTTCTCCCATCTGTTATAATTGTCTTACTCCTGTCTAGTTTTCATAGCAGTTATTTTTTTTTAGCCATTCATATTTCAGTCTTTATGAAGCATTTAACTTAATTTTCCTAGAAACAATAATTCTTTTTACACTCATATTTTATCATATTATGTTACATTTAGACTGTTTAATTACAAGTAAAACTGATGTAGCAACTTGAGGAAAAAAGCAAGTTATTTTTGACAAGCATACTAATCAAATTGTGAAAGATAATACCTTGGCATATTGGAGAGCACCTGATAGGAATGAATATTCATCATTCTACAAACATCATTTATAATAAATTTTTAAAAAGTTTTATTAGTCAAGTCTCTTAAAAGGATGTCAGATGAGAGCTTTTAAACTGTGTCTCTATTTTCCTGAAGGAAAGGGCCTATAGCTTTCAGGAGCTTCTTCAAGGCATCTATGATATTAAAAAGTTTAAGAAATGTTAGTCCAGAAGGTCTTTGAAAAATGGAAGTCTCACTCCAGTTATTCACCATTTTGAAAATATACTTCAAGATGGAATTACTGTTTGCTTTTTATAATTTTCCTCACAATATTTTTGTTAACTTATGTAAAGAGTAACAAGTAGTCAAAAGAAAGTAGTCTATCTTGCAAACTATAAAATATCTAGGAATAAACTAACCAAATAATGGTTTAAGGCCTATTTAAAAGGAAAAAGACTATCAAACTTTATGGAAGGGCATTTTTAAATTTTCACAATATTTAATTGATGAATAAAGATCAAATATATTCAAGGTGTATAACATGATGACTTGATGTACATATACATTATATAATGATTATTACAATTGAGTTAACACATCCATCACCACCCTTGCAGCACATAATATACCCAGAACTTGTTCATCTTATGACTGAAAGTTTGTACCCTTTGACCAACATCTCCTCATTTACCTCACCCCTATCCCCTGGCAACCTCCATTCTACTTTCTGCTTCTCTTCTGGGTATATATTTAAAAAAAAATGAGATCAGTATCTTGAAGAGATACATGTACTTCCATGTTCATTGCAGCGTTATTTGCAATAGTCAAGATTAGAAACAACCTAAGTGTCTCTCAATGGATAAAAGAATAAAGAAAATGTGTTGCACATATGTAACAGAGTGCTATTTAGCCATTAGAAAAGGAAATTCTGCCATTTGCAACAGAATGGATGAACCCAGAGGGCATTATACTCAGTAAAATAAAATAGACACAGAGAGACAAATACTGTTTGATCTCACTTATATGTGAAGGTCGTTTAACAAAAAATCTTGAATGTCTTTGGTGATATATCCTGTTTCTAGATGAAAAGACTAAGTGTTCAAATATGGCAAGTGTTTCAAAATCTAGAAATTTAATTCAGTTCTTACAAAAGTCCTGTATTTGAATGGAGTATAACATTCATGCACATAGTATTTATTGTCTGTCTACTGTGTATTGGTTACTATAGCATAGACAGTAAAATAGATCAAGAGGACAAAAAAGAATATCCAAAAAATTATATTGAGTATATCTTTGTACACAATTGGGTAGAGAATTGATATGTGGTACAGATGGCATTTCAGATCAGTGTGTAAGGGAAAGGATGGATTGTTTTTTCAAGAAATGTGTTGAAATAATTGGCTGTTTGGAAAAATAGTCAGACCTTTACCAACTATCATGGGAACACTAATTCTAGGTGGAATAAAGATCTAACCATAAACTAGAATACTATAAAAAGTATGAGAAGAAAAAGAGGAATACCTGTTTAATTTTGAGATAAGAAAGGCTTTCTTAAGCAAGATATAATATACAAGCCATCAAAGAAAAAGTTGACATATTTGACTACATCAAAATTAATACATTTCGGTAGATTACAAAATACCATACACAAAGTTAATGGATACGTGAAAAACTGGGAAAACTATTTGTAACATATATGACAAAGTATGAATATCCTTCATGTATTAAGAACTCCTATAAATCAATGAGCAAAAGATGAATGTGCCTTCTGGGAAAATGAAGAAAAAAACACCAACTAGCAATCTATATAGTAAGAAACATAAATGGCCTAATATATATATAAGATACTTGATTTTATTAGCAATCAAATAAATGCAGATTTGGAAAACCATTTAGATACTGGTTTTTAGCCTTTCAATTTGACAAAGATTTAGAAGACTTATAATATCACTGCTAGTAAACAGGGTAGGAAAACAGACTTATACTCTTGGTGGGAATGTAAATTGCTGCAGTATATTGCTCACTTTCTGGAGAGCAACATGGTAATACTGTCAAAAATTAGTGTGTATACTCTTCAGTGCAGAAATTTCAACTCTAGGAATGTATCCTGAGGAAATACCATAAAGGTTATGGTCCCAGTTGTATGTATAATGATGCTAATTTCATCATTGCTTATACTTGCCATCCCCCTACCCCCAAAAAGAAAACAGCCCCTATGCTCACCAACAGGGGATCTGTTAAATCATTGTGCCTCAATAGGGAATTTGTTTCACAAATTGTGGCACATCCATTATAGAATACTAAACCAAGCAGCAATTTTAAAAATTAGATCTATGAGTATATAAAGTAATGTAGAATCATACCTGGGAAATATTGTCAAGCTTTTAAAAAATCATATCTCAGAATAATATGTTTACTGTGATCTCATTTGTATTTAAAAAGGAAAACAAACTAAATACATATGTAATTTATTTTGAAAATTTAATTGAAAACATAATTGAGATTATATTATATAATCTATTCTGTACCTTTTTCAAATTAGTGGTTCATCATGAACTTCCACTCATGCCAGTACATATAGATCTACGTCATCTTTTTTGAAAGATCTATAAATGTTAACATTGCATTTGTTTTAAAATTTGTTTGTATATATTTAATGTATATATGAGTAAAAATTCAGGAAGAATATAGGTATAACTGTTAACAAAGGTTGTATTTGGGGAAGAGGAGGAATTTCTTTATACTACTGTATTACTTTTCAAGTATAGGTATATACTTAGTAAAAACAATAAAAATATTTCTATTTGAGGATGGAAACCTAATTTTTAAAACAAATATGTTTGTAGAAATTGTAATCCTGGAAAGCCCCTCAAAACATCTTTGAAACTTGAAAAATCAATGGCTGTTGAAATTACTTTAACCATAATGAACAAAAGGATTGGAGAAGAATAGGAAAAAAGAAGAAATCAGAAGTAGATTTTCAAAGAGAAAGATAGATGAATGAAAATAACAGTAACTTTAGGAATTCAGTGAGCATCCCAGCCTCTGCTTGAGTATGTTTATTGATCATTGTTTATTTTACCTTTCTACCAAAAAGAATAATATTCTTTGGAAGAATTAGCTGATGCTTTTTATTTCTTTATGAATGGAGAAAGCACCATAAAATTTTAAGCAAAAGCATTAACTTTGTAGCATGTTAAAAATCTAATTTTCTCAGTCAGCAGTTTATTCCCAAAACTCCTGTTTATTACAGTTTTCACTTATATCACCATGTTATATACCTTAAATAGATACAGTTTTTTATATGTCAACCTAATCTCAATAAAGCTGAAAAAAATTTTAAAAATAATGTAGACATAGTTTTAGATTTATGTTACATTTTAGATTTATATGTTGCATTTTGCATATGTATAAACATTTGCAGTGTATACATATCTTATAGCCCTTTGCATGACACAACAGTTTTTTCACATAGGATTTTAGAAATGGTGCTTTGTGTTATATGATTTAGAGATTTATATCTTTATTGATTCCTACCTGAGTGTTCATATAAAATACCTGACAAATCTAAAATGCATTTTTTATTTTAACTTTTAAAAATATATGTTATTTGACTTCCTTTTTGTTTTAATTAGGTAACAGGGAAAAAGATATATGCTACAAGCCAGCAAACTTTTGAAACAGTTAAATCACTGTGGACAAAAAGCAACAAAAAAGAGTCACTTCCTCAGCCTAAGGAAAAAACTAAGGTAAAGTTTAAATGGAACAAGACGGTCCATATTGATTTTTGTTTGGGTGGGTGTTGGCTTGTAATGAGGGTACTGGACAGAGGTCGAGGATAAAATAAGAAAGTACATGAAGGAATTTGGTATAATTTTTAAAGAAATTTTATTCTCTTAGTAAAATGATGTACTTATCAAGGAAAAATCTTTTTGGTAAACAGCTAGGATCCTCTGCCGAAATAGAAGCATTTGCAAAAACAACTCATGTCTTGAAACACTCAGTGCCTTTGCCAGCAGAACTCAGCTCTGAAGCGAAGACCAAATCAGTATCCACCTCAGGTTTGTTGGGAATAATTCAGTTTTATTTTCATTCTTTTCTTAAATAATTTGATAGCATTATCATTAGTGGTTTGAACTTACAGATGTGTTTTCTCAGTAAATATTTGGTCTTTCTTGTATCTGTGGTTTGCATTTCTTTTTAGGTTATGAGGTACTTAGGTGCCTGGGATTGTTTTAAATTACCACATAGTTCATAATATAGATCTTTGTATGTGAGGATATAGAGTAGCACTGACAGGTTGATTGGGTGAAACATTTCATATAACGTTATAAGTATGAGCTATTTTATCAGGTCGGGGAAAATGAGCCTTTCTAGATTCTATAATTTTAAAGGTATGAGTCACACCTACATAAAGAAATGTAAGCTTCCATTTTTTGTGCTATTTACCTGTCAATCTTAAGACTTGTAATGTTCCTAGTATTCCATACTGGCAATAAGTACTCTGTGGAACCAAACAGTGACAATTATGCTTTCTAAGAAAACACTACTATGATTTTACTGTGATCAAAAAGAAGGTGACAGTGTTTGATACCATTTTGACAATGTATTCATATTGATTTGCATAGTTGTATCTGTATGTACAATGTGAATGGTAAAACCCATGAAGTTGTCTTACTGCAGAGGAAAGGTGACTAACTCAGAGGTTGGGGAATAATAATAGTATCCACCATTTATCAAGCACATACTGTAATGCAGAGAGCTAGAAATGTGTTATTCAGCCCTTACCCACAAAGTAAAACAAAAACCTCTGCTGGATCAGTAATTACTCCCATTTTATGATGAAGAGACTGAGACTCTGGGAGCTAAAATAAGTTGCCCTGATTCATAGAGCTTGTGAGTGGCAGAGTTGTGTTTCTGGCCTAGATCTTCTTGACATCAAAGCACAAGCTCTTTCCATTGTGTATAGATTATCTAATTTAAAACTGGAATTTAGTCTCTAATTTCAGTCTCCTCCTCTCTCACTTAATCTTTATACAAAATCTCATTGAATAACAAACCTGATTTGAGTTTTATTATTTTCCTCTGTCCTCTCTCCTTCCTAATCAAGACAAGTTATACAGTTTTTAGAGTCTCTGAATAATCTACAGGTGACCATATTCTCACAAGAATATAATATATGGTCATTTTCCCAAATGCTAGTTAATTACAGAGTATCTTTGTGAAGATGAAGCATACTACAGCTTAAAAGTGGGACCAAAACCTTCCCGAGCTAATGTCTTCTTCACACATCTGGATGATGGAACTCTTTATTGCCTGTCTTGGGTGATGTGGTATATGAAAAGCATTCTAAGGAGATAATGCAGAGGGAGAAAGAGATGCCAGTGCTATTCATTCTTATCATATATGCCTTGGTCAGTTTGAGCTACCGTAAAAAATACCATAGACTGGGTGACTTGTAAACAACAGAGAGGTGATTAGAATTAGTTGAGGTGATGAGGGTGGAGCCTTCATGACTGGGATTAGTAGTGCTCTTATGAATCTTGAGAGAGCTTACTTTCCTCTACTCTCTGCCATGTGAGAATACATTGAGAACTAGACTGTCTACAAGCCAGAAGAGGACCTTCACCAGAACCTGACCATGTTGACACCCTGATCTCAGAATTTCAGTCCTTAGAACCATGAGAAATAAATTTCTGTTGGATCCAACATTTGTACTAGTTCTGTTACCTGGGGCAAGTTATCAAACACCTCGAGCCTCAGTCTCCTCATCCAACAAAAAGGGAACAATAATAGTTCTTGCAAGGTTTTAAAGATTAAATGAGATATTGCATGTAAAGCACTAACTACAATGGCAGAGATATACTAAGAAGTATCAGTGGATATTAAAATATATCATTATTATCATTTGCCTAGAGTAATTAGTCATTTTGCCGAGAAATAGATTTTCATTGAGCACACTTTAGGAGTAAGTCACTTACCTAGTGTGCCTAGCCATGGCTACCACGTTTCACCATATAGAATAGATCGGGTGTACTGTCCAACTGTATGTTGTGGCTCCGAATATGAGTTGTTTTCTACCATCTCATGCACATTAATGGAGAAAATTATTATTATGGGAATTACAAATTTAGAAATTTGGTGTCATAGATCTCTTCAAGAATCCGATGAAAGCGGAATGAAATCTCTCATACTCTTACAAGATTAATGTCCCTCTAAAGCAGAGGTTGGTAAACTATGGCTGGCCTGCCACCTCTGACTCACTATTTTCATATATTCTGCAAGCTAACAGTGATGGTTGAAAAAATAAAAAATAATATTTTATAACAAGTAAAAATTACATGAAATTCAGATCTCAATGTCTATAAATAACATTTTATTAGAACATACCCACACGCATTCATCTATATATTGTCTATGACTGCATTTACACTACAGTGGCAGAGTCGAGCAGTTGCGACAGAGACCATATGGTCCACAAAGTCAAAAATATTTGCTACTGACCTTTTGCAGAATAGTTTGCCAATTCTCCTTCGAGAAAGAAGGGATGTGCAACGTACGCATGACTCATGTCCCCTTATGGTAGTTGACCGATTTTTTGTGGATTCGGAGGCTAAATAGCCAAACTCAAAACCTCTTAATGGCAAATCCTAATTTCTTACAATTTTGGGGGGTTGAGGAGACAGAAACTAGACAGATGTCAGTCAGGAGCTTGAGAGTGCCATACCTGAACTGGGAGAACCAGAAGTTAACTGACTCTTACTGAAACTACAACACAGCCCAGACCCAGCTCAATGCCTGACTAGATTCAGATGATAAGTGTTTCACCCTTTCTAAAGAGCTTCCACCTTTCTGGAGCTTCTACTTTTCCTTCATACACAATGTCCACCATACAAACAAACAAAATAGTAGTTATGCCAAAAGGCAGGCAGATGTGATTGGTAGAAGAATAAATAAAGAAATATAACAACAACAGCAGACCCACAGATGACTTTATATTGACGTTAACTGAAAAAGACTTTAACAATATTAATATTGTTAATATTTAAGTTAACTGAAAAGGACTTTACAATAATTATTACTAATATGTTAAATAGGAAAGAATGATAGACAAAATAGATGAAAAGATGGAGAATGTCACAGGGACTTAGAATCTGTTAAAAAAATCTAGTGGCTTTTCTAGAAGTTAAAAATACGGTACCCAATATTAAGAACTCATTGGGTGGGTTTAACAGCAGACTATATACCAGAAAGCACAGAATTAATGAATTGAAAGACAAGTCAATAAAAACTAGCCAAACTGAAGCACAGAGAGAAAAAAGGAATGGAAAAGGTTGACAAAATACTTTATAGTGACTAGTGTCTTTAAGTGTTTGAGTTGCTGAGAAGCTGAATGCTGAATGTCATCCTGATTTTATACGTGAGAAACCAAAACAGAATTAGTAGCAGTCATTACTTCACTCAGCAATTTATCAGTTTTCTGTCTCATTTTTTATACCTAACTTGCTTAAAATATCAATGAGATAACATGTGAACTAAATTATTAGTAATGTGATACTATCAGATATCACATAAGGGCTATTTGAGACTATAATTCATTGCTGTCTCATAACTTTAAACATATTTCTTTCTTATTTGTTATAACACCAGCTTTTTGAAAAGTCTGCCAAAAAGCTTGAAGCAGAAAACATTCTTATTAGAAAGCAAACATATAAAACTGCAAAGGAATGCATCATGATGATTAGGGCATTCAGATTCAAGAAGAGTTTTATGATAGTTCATTCTTTGAGAGGGTAAGAGAGCCCTTAATCCACTCAAGAGATTGATTAAATTTCTAAGAAGATAGAATTCTTAATTGCTTATTAAGGGCATGAGATGAAGGTTATTAAAAAGATAGAAATCAAATGACAGGCTTAGTAGTTCTAAACCAGAGGGATCCATATCACAGTTACTTGAGGGTTTTTTTTTTCTCCAAAATTCATAGGTTCAGAGTCTACTCAAGAATTATAAATCTGAATCTCCAGAGGTGAGGCCTCCAAGCGGGTAGATTTTAGAAAGAGCTCCACAGGGGATTCTGATACATATCACTCTAGCTAATAATCTCTGTTTTAAGTTGTTAATACCTTAAAATCTTGAAGCCTTTTAAGAAATTTTGAGGGGTGATCTAAAGGCAAAAGGACCTTTCTAATTCAGGAAATTGGGATAAGCTGAACCTTTCACCAAATTTAGAATAAGAGTATAGATTAAGGAAGCATTTATAAGTGCTAGAGAACTTAGTTGATGGACATTGTTAAGTAAATTGGACACATTGAGACTTACATTAAATAATTATTTGTCACATGCCTACTATATGTTTTCTGCTTGATATAACTTGTTGCACACTTTTCACTTGCACTGAGCAATGGTTCCCACCAGATGGCAGTAGAGATCAGCAGAACCACCAGTGTGTTCCTAACCTTTTTATGGGCTACAACCTCTTCCCAGAATGTTTTCAAATGCAGAAAATAAACACATAGTAATGTATGAATTTCCTTAAGTGTATTAAACAACAATATCTAACAATAGGTCTGATAACTTTTAATTTTTAATTAGTGGCGAGTGTGAATATTTTGAGATAATCTGCAACTATAATGTAATAATATATCTGATTTCTGTTGGTGACAAAGAAATCTAAGGTACTGCTGATACTATTGTGTTTTGTTGCCTGTATTCATTATTGAAGAAAATGTCCATTTAAGTCAAAGGTAAGTGAAAATAATGACAAATTTTCCTTATCCAAGTTAATAGATCACATGAGTTATAACATACTCCTAAAGGGACACGAAGTTAAGAATTTATTCTGTGGAGAGCTTCATTACCTGTACCATCATAAATGCTAATTTCTTTGAATCTGGTTGTTCTGTTAAAATATTTGATGATGAAGCTATACATAGGTATGTCAGGCTATAAAATATGTTTCAGAAAAGATAAGTATAAGATCTATCATTGTATTCTAATTTCTCTCCTTTGTTTTCATTATAAAACTGGAAATTAACTTCCTTTATGCAGAAAAGGTATGTTTCCAAATGTAATAAAATTAATTTTAAGATGAATCAGATTTTGAACATATTTAAAATAAAAACAAATTTCTGAAAAAATGTTTTTAGTATTATGTCACAAAATAAATATAAAATAGTTGTCTCTTGCCTACTTACCATGCACAAGGTGTTATATGCAGCACTTTGTGTGCATTATCATGTTTAATACTAAAAATAATTGTATGAGATTTTTACTGCTATAAACATAATTTTAAAGAAGAGCCTGGGTAGTTGTGTTGGGGTCAGACAAATGTGGATTCATTCCTGGCTCCACCACTTATCAGCTGAATGACTTTGGTCAAGTTACTTAACCTCTTCAAATTAAAATTTTCTTATCTGTAAAATAAGGACAATGTAAAAATAGTATCGACTTCATGGTGAGATTATAGGATAACACATGAAAATAACTTAGCTACTTGCCTGGGACACAGGAAGCTTGTGAAGATCACCAGTGATCCACACATTGCTAAATCCAGGAGTGGATTCTTAATCTCCATTTTATGCAATCCATCAGTAATCTTTGGCACAGGTTCAATTCCTTCCTCCTTCAAACAATCTCTTCACTTGGCCTGTGGGATATCTCTTGCTCTTGGTTCTCTTACCTCATTCACTGGCTTTCCTCCTTAGTCTTCTTTCCTATATTCTCCTAACCTTCTTAATGTCTCCTAATCTTAACCCAGAAGACTCATTTGTACTCAGATGTTTAATAGGCAATTCACATTGAACACATCCAAAACTTAATGATTCATTTATTTTTCCCTAAACCTGCTTCTCCCACATTTTCCCCTATCTCAGTAAATGTGACCTCCATTCTTCCAGTTTCTCAAGTTGAAGAGTCTCTCTCACAAGACATAGTCAACTCATTTAGGAGAAATCCTTCCCATTCTACCTTCAACATTATCCAGAATCTGGTACCTTTTCACTGCTTCCATTACTCTTTCCTAATTAAAGCCCTCAGCATCTCTTCTGGAGTACTGTAATTTCTTTCTAACTGATCTCCCTGCTTCTATCCCTTGTTTTCTTACAGGTTTTTTTTTTTTTTTTCCACAGAGAAGAGTGATTTTTTCAAAAACATAGCATCATTCACTCCTCTACTCAAAATTGTCCAGTAGCTTCTCATCTTACTTAAAGCCAAAATCTTTACCATAGCCCAGTATGACCTAGTTTTCCATTGTCTGTTTGATCACATCTCCTGTCACTCTCTCTCTCACTGCCTTGCCGCCACCCCTACATACACCACATTTTGTCTACTGTGTTCCAACCATTTTGGTTCCTCAGACGTGGCTCAGGTCCATTACACTTGCTGTCTGCTCATCCTGGAAGGCATTGACTACTAGTATCTATAGGGTACACACTCACACCTTCAGTTCTTGGCTCATATATCGCCCTTCCAAAAGGCCTTCCCTGGCTGCCCTATTTAAAATTACAAATCACCTAGCACTCCATATAGCCCTCCTTGTTTCATTTTTTTCACGCAGCACTTAGCCAGCATCTGATATATATTTAATTAGTTTGTCTCACCTAACTGAAATGTTAGGTCTGTGTCGCCAGATATTTTTATCTGGTTTGTTCACTGTTGTCTTCCCAGTATCAAAAATAAATTTGTTAAGTGACTAATTTTTTTTTTCATTTTAATACTTTATCAGGTGCTACACAGTTTATGCCTGACCCCAAGCTCATGGATCACGGGCAGTCCCACCCAGAAGATATAGATATGTACAGCACTAGAAGCTGAAGTAGACTGCATAGAGAGACTACATAGAAAACTACAAGATGTGTGAAGTTGCAAATAATGATGGAAAAAAATCATGTAATGGGTAACCGATACATAGAGTATTACCTAAAACAAGTTTTTCCCTTTCATTTCCAAATGTGCAATTTGATGAATTACATAAGTGGTTAACACACAAACTGTGAATGCAATGCAAACAATATTAAATGATTGATGAGGAGACATAGATATAAGGTTATCTTGCATTTGATGACCTTTGAGGGCATTTATTAAAAAACAACAGCAACCAATGAAGACATGAATTCCAGTGAGACTGAAATCTGAAAATATGTCTATGTATGTATAAAGACATACATATTTATATGTATAAACATATATTTCTGCTCTAGCTTTCCTGAATTAATGTCAGTTAAATTAGAATGGTGTGTGGAAAGATGTGTTTCCCTCTGTTTTTTTTTTCCATTTCCTAGAGCTGGAATAAAATATCCATGTTTTATGGGACATGAACTTGGCTTTGTCTCTTGGTTTTGTTAATGTTAATTCCTCTTAAATGTCTAAAAACATCTCTAACTATTTGAGAGGGCCATATGCTACACAGGCTTTCTAATACTGCTTAGCAATCCTTCCTAAATGGTTCCTAAATGGTTCACTATTGTGTTTCCTGGAAGAGGTATTACAAACCTTTTATTCTTTTCAAGCCTCTTATAACTGCCAAATTGACTGTGCCTCCTGTTTCACAGATAAAAAAGTAAATTATTCGACATGACCATTCCCAGCTTCTTCCCATCTACCGTCAAGACTCTTTTTAGCCATGCATTGCCCTTTCTAAGACTAATGCTTAGAGTGTTTGTGTTCTTGATCTCATTCCCTCCCATCTAAGACCATAATCCACCCTGTTTAATATCCAGTCTTTGGTTTCTCTTTTTACTAATTTGTTTTCCTCTACCTCTAAATAGCTTTAGGACTTCTCTATCTTAAATCAACAATAACAAGACAAAAACCTTTCCTTAACTCGGCCTCTTCCCTTGAACTGTTTTTTCTCTCTCCTTCCTATGTGCTATACTTCTTTAAAAAGAAATTATTACTTTTTGACAAAAGTAAATATTGTTCCTTTTTTCCCTACTTTCAAGTCCTCTCTTAGTAAGTTGTGGCATTCTGGCCTCTATACCTACTTAATTTTTTTTTTTTTTGAGATGGGGTCTTGCTCTGTTGCCCAGGCTGGAGTACAGTGGCACAAACACAGCTCACTGCAACCTTTATCTCCCAGGCTCAAACAGTACTCCCATCTCAGCCTCCTGAGTATCTGGGACTATAGGCACCCATCATCATGCCTAATTTTTTTGGATTTTAGTAGAGACAGTGTTCGTCATGTTGTCCAGTCTGGTCTAGAACTTCTGAGCTCAAGCAATCCTCCCAACTCAGCCTCCCACAGTGCTGGGGTTACAGGTGTGAGCCACTGCACCCAGCCCCTACTTGAATCTTTATGTCATTATTGATTCTTTACCACTCTCTCCTTGAAACTCACTTATTCCTTTGCTTTCCATTTTTCCTGCTTTTGTTATTCTTCATTTTTTTCTCTTGCTCTGAATCCCTTAAATGCTGAGGCTGCTCAGGTTTCATCACTAGTCCTGTTTTCTCATTCTATATGTGCTCTCATTTTTATTTAACATACTTCACGGGCTTCAGACCCCATTTATTTTATTATTATTCATATTTTCAGCCCCCATATCCCTCTAGTGCTGTAGACCTTTATTTCTACTCACTATATTTACCTAACATCCATAGATATGCCAATGTCAATATGCCTAAAACAAAATTGTCTCTACCTCCCGCTCCTTTAAATCTATTCTGCCTTCTCTAATCCTATCATTACTCTCCCTCAAGTCATAATCATCACTTTTCTGGGTTTCTATAGTAGCCTTTGGGCTAATTTGCTTACCGTCAATCTTGCTCTCTCTCACTTCAGAATATGTCCTGCTTGCAGGTAACAGTAAACTAGTTAAACAAATATTTAATATTAGCTTAAGCAAAAAAAAAAAGAGCCTATTTATAGCCTGGAATTTGGCAGTATAGGGTTAGGACATTGGCTCATTGGTGCTATCAAGGACCTAGACTTTTTCCCTTTCCACTCCGTTCTCTACAGTATGCTGGTTTGTTACCTCATGGTTACAAGATGTCTGCTGTACCTTCAGGGAGCAGATACACATTCAAAGTAGAAAATCGCAGATAAAAATATGCACAAGATGCTTCTGACTCCCTTTTATCAGCAAAGTAAATGCTTTCTTAGAATCTCCTCAGAAGACTTCTGTGTATGTGTGAACCAGTACTTGTCATATAGCCACACACTTAGCTCAAGGAAGATAGGGAATAGGGAAATCATGTTTCTTTTCCCCTGTGGTGAGGAAGGCAAAGGTTAAGGGATTGGGAACAGGTGTTGAGTTTAAGCTAACATAGTGTCTACTACCCTATACTTCTAACCCATTTGTCTGTTATAACATAGTTGTCTTTCTGACACCTATAATGGATAGTTGTCTTTCTGAAATCTTTAGTGGCTCATCATTGCCTGCAGAATCAAATCAGAACTCCCTAGTTTGATATACAAGGCCCTTCATATCCAATTCCAGCTTACCTTTAATCTATTTTCCCTCTCTGTACCCATCCTGCTGCTAATGTGTATTATATTGTCTTTATGAACTATCATTTGTTTTTTGAACATGCTTTGTTCTTTATTGCCTCTTTTTCTGCCTGTGCTAGTGTGTCCTCTCAAAATGTTCTTCCATCTTATCCCACTCTACATTCTAACTTCCTACCCATCCTACAAGTCCAATTCCAGTGTCAGATCCCCTTTCTCAATCCTCCAGGGTAGAACTTAGATTCTCTTTGCTAGAGACAGAGTCTCGCTATGTTGCCTAGACTGATCTCAAACTCCTGGCCTCAAGCAATCCTCCCACCTCAGCCAAACAGACATGAGGGACTGTGCTCAGCCTTTTCTTAATTTAAAGGTATATGATATGGCCAGGCGTGGTGGCTCACACCTATAATCCCAGCACTTTGGAAGGCTAAGGTGGATGGATCACCTGAGGCCAGCAATTCAAGACCAGCCTGACCAATATAGTGAAACCATGTCTCTACTAAAAACAAACAAAAAATACAAAATTAGCGAGGTGTGGTGATGCGTGCTTGCAATCCCAGATACCTTGCAGGCCGAGGCAAGAGAATCACTTGAACTCCTGAGGTGGAAGTTGCAGTGAGCTGAGATCGTGCCATTGCATTCCAGCCTGGGTAACGAGCGAAACTCTGTCTCAATCAATCAATCAATGTACATAGTATGTCTTAGTTTTGATTTAATATGAGTATGTTTGAGATCTGATCCAAGGTTTTAAAAAATTGATTTCAAATACTGGAGATAAATTCTTAGGAGCTTACTTATGAAAACCTAGCAAGTGATAGTTGATATTTATACATTTGGTACTTACACAATTTATGTAATTAATATTTTCTCACAGACAAGATTCCTTGTGTGTATGGCTGCATAATTTTGTATAGTTTCTATGCCCATGAAATGCCTGGTAGATAGTAGGAATTCGCATGTTCTGCCTTGCTGGTTGCAGCACAGGACACAAAAGTTAGAATAATTTCAAAGGACTTATACTCTACTAGGAAAGAGAGAAACATAGAAATATGGTGTTCTATGTGTTATGTTCCCTAAGATAAGTACAACCAAAGAACTATGGATGTTCGGAGATAAAATGTAGTTCTGGGATGATGTCAAGAAGGCAGTGGTACTTAAGCTGCTCGAGGTAGGGAAGCAACTTAATTGCTAGTTTTTCATAAGAAAGCTCTTCAGAATTTATCTGTAGTATTTGAAATGAATTTTTAAGCCTCAGATCAATATATTCAAACACCCATATTTCATCAAATCTAAGGCATAACCTATACCTTTAATTTTTAGAAAATGCTGAGCACCGTTGCTTATGTCTGGGAGGCTGAAGTGGGAGGATTGATTGAGGCCAAAAGTTTGAGACCAGCCTGAGCAACATAGCAAGATCCTGCCTCTAAAGAAAAATGCTTCTTTTTCACAATTTGACATATCCGATGTTAGGATAAATGTAATTATCACCTGACAGCATTTTTCTTTTTTTTTTTGAGATTTAAAGAATGCCTGCTTTTATTAATGAAATAATAAAAGCAGGCATTCTTTAAATCTCAAAAAAAAAAAAAAAGAAAGAAAAGAAAAATGCTGTCAGGTGATAATTACATTTATCCTAACATCGGACATGTCAAATGCTGAAAAAGAAGCAACTTAAATTTGATGAAATATGGTGGGTAAAAAATAGCACAATGCTAAGTATAAGTAATTTTTAAATTATCTGCCCTTTTGGATTAGCACTACTACTAGCTATTAGAATATTGATTTAGATAATGTAAAGTTGACTAGCTCTACAAAATCTGTTTCAAAATAAAAGATCTGCCCAAAAAAGAATGTGATGATCACTTGCTGTATTGTACAACAGAGTCAAACTGCTGTTAGACTCAGGTGACCTTCAAACGTTCGAGGCTATGTTGTGATGAGTTGTTACAAGGCCTCTTTCATTCTTCCTCTATGATTTTCAGGAGTTCTTCTCTGTCCAACCTGAAGAGTTGCCAGCCCTCCTCAGAGGAAAGGTCTAAAGCCCCTCGACTAGTATAGTAGGTGATAGAAGACTGGTTCCAAATGACAACACGATACTGCATGCAGCTACACTGGGTTTGGATGGCAATCTGTTTAAAAACACACAAGCAAATATTACTCTCATTTGAATGTATAGTCTTTGTCAAAAGAAACAATCATGCGAGTGAACAGGCAATCTACAGAATGGGAGAAAATGTTTATAATCTACCCATCTGACAAAGGGCTAATATCCGCAATCTACAAAGAACTTAAATTTATAGGAAAATAAAACATCAAAAAGTGGGTGAAGGATATGAACAGACATTTCTCAAAAGGAGACATTTATGCAGCCAACAAACATATGAAAAAAAGCCCATCCTCAGTGGTCATTAGATAAATGCAAATCAAAACCACAATGAGATACCATCTCACTCCAGTTAGAATGGCGATCATTAAAAAGTCAGGAGACAACAGATACTGGAGAGGATGTGGAGGAATAGGAACACTTTTACACTGTTGGTGGGAGTGTAAATTAGTTCAACCATTGTGGAAGACAGTGTGGCAATTTCTCAAGGATCTAGAACTAGAAATACCATTTGACCCAGCAATCCCATTACTGGGTATATACCCAAAGGTTTAGAAATCATTTTATTATAAAGACACATGCACACATATGTTTATGGAAGCACTGTTCACAATAGCAAAGACTTGGAACAAACCCAAATGCCCATCAATGATAGACTAGATAAAGAAAATGTGGCACATATACACCATGGAGTACTATGCAGTCATAAAAAAGGATGAGTTCATGTACTTTGCAGAGACATGGATGAAGCTAGAAACCATCATTCTCAGCAAACTAACACGAGAACAGAAAACCAAACACCGCATGTTCTCACTCATAAGTGGGAGCTGAGCAGAGAGAACACATGGACACAGGGAAGGAAACATCACACACTGGGGCCTTTTGTGGGGGTGTGGGGCTAGGGGAGGGATAGCATTAGGAGAAATACCTAATGTAGATGATGGGATGAAGGATGCAGCCAACCACCATGGCACGTGTATACCTGTGTAAACTGCATGCTCTGCACATGTACCCCAGAACTTATTATTTAAAAAAGTATAATCTTCGTTAACACATACTTTATTGAGAGTCTACTCTATGCAAGACACTATGTGTGAATAATACTTCCAAATATAGCAGTTAACTGAAATTTTCTGTAGATGTAAAAAAACTCTCACTGTTATGAGCTTTAAAACCACTCTTATTAAAAGCTCAAAACTGATTTGCAACCCTTTATTGTATAGAAAATGTTTACCTACCTAAAAAACACATGTTCTCATATGTTCCAAAATACAAGAAGATCTTGCTTTTATAGTCTTTTATGAATAAAGATGCCAATAACCTTCCTGCTTACTTTCACTTGATAGCAAAAAGGGTGTATAGTGTGGTTGTGGATTATATGTAAATCAATTTTAATTGAATATAACTCATAATCTATATGAATCATCTGATTTGAAAATCCAGTATAAATTGGGTGGAAATTTGAAGTATAGGGGTTATGTTCAGATGGTGTGATTAATGTTTTATGCCATGTGAATATTTATTGAAGAAAACGTTAATATATAGAATATCAGTACTAATTTAATACATACCTGACTTAGCATCTTCAGCATTTCAGCTCCAATACCTAGACCTTTTAAATAGACAATATACAATGAAAACTGAGTTATTTGCTTTAGTTAAAAAAATAATATCTAAAACTCTATCTGGTTTTTGTATATTATTAATAGCTTGTGGAAACACAACTCATTCAATGCTTTCATATCTCTTTTTCCTAATTGGTATGAGGTACTAAAAGTCATAGAAGAGTTTGGGTTTATTTTAAAGATTAGTGAAGAAGTGAGTCTCTGCCACTATTGTCTTATAACAAATTATTTCTTATCTATTTTTACTGAAAACCACCCAAAATTTAAAAGCATTTTTTAAAGATAAAAGTATACCTCTGTGGCCAGGCACGATGGCTAACACCTGTAATCCCAGCACTTTGGGAGGCCAAGGCAGGAGGATCACTTGAGCCCAGGAGTTTCAGACCAGCCTGGGCAAAACAGACCCTGTTTCTACAAAAAATTAAAAAGAATTAGCTGGGTGCTCTGGCACCTGCCTGTTGTCCCAGTTACTTGGGGGGCTGAGGTGAGAGGATTGCTTGAGTCCAGGAGGTTGAGGTTGCAATGAGACGTGCACTCTAGCCTGGGTGACTGCAAAACGTCTCAGAAATGAAATAAAAATATATATATAGCCATGTGATAGCTTGGCTTATTCAGACCTTGAGAGGAGCTAATAAAATGTTTATCTAATCTGTGACTGAGCCTTCACTCCATGAAAGAATAACTACAATAGTGATCAAACTCATTAACTTAATTTAATTATAGCAATAAGTTACATTAACAAACACCATATGTAAAGCCCTATCTCATAAAAATATGTCATTTTAATTTTTAACGTATAAGTAGTATCATAAATTGTAGTTTTACCTTGGTAAGCTTTTGTGACATAAAAGTCCTCTAGGTAAAGTACCTTACCAATCCGTGAGTCATATGTAAAGTAGTACATGGCAAATCCAACAGTCAGTTTGTCTAGGAAGATACAAGAAAGGGTGTAGAAAGGTTGTGTTGAATGTTCGCCAGTTCTTTACCCCAAAATTGAATGTCTTTTGGTGTTGTTTTTAACTATCAAAATAATAAATGCTCACTGGAAAAAATTACAAAAAACATAATATAGAGGGTGTAAGTCCCTTAAAATACAACCTTTAGATTATAAGCCTTCTTTTTACAGGGTGGCATAGAATCTTTCCAAGAATTTTAGCTCAGTGCAGTGGTTCATGGCTGTAATCCCTGTGCTTTGGGAGGGCAAGGCAGTAGGGTCGCCTGAGCTCAGGAGTTTGAGTTCAGCCTAAGCAATGTAGTGACGCCCTGTCTCTACAAAAAAGAATTTTAAATTAGCTGGACATAGTGGCACATACCTGTAGTCCCAGCTACTTGGGAGGCTAAGACACTTGTGGAAAGAAGTTGGAGTTGGAGGCTTCAGTGAGCCATGCCACTGCACTCCAGCCTGGGTGACAGAGCAAGACTGTCTCAAAAAAATAAGAATGCTTATACAAACATAAGTACATACCATGCATTTCCTTAAAAAACTGGATTTATATACATATTCTCCTCTTCTGCTTAATAGTAATTATGTGCTACATAACAGTACTATGTTTTCAGCATGGAAAAAATATACTCCAGATTAAACTGGAGAAGAAAGATTTACTCTACCTGATGGATTTTGTTGACTGTTTGCTTCTGCAATCAGGCAGTAGAAAAGGAGAGTGTCCTCAAAGCCATCTCTGAGTAAATCTGAAATAACAATTCATATATAGTATGTCAGAAAGTTTATAGCAAAGAGAGGGAGATGGTAGATAGGAAGCAATAGGAATTTCTCTCTCCACCTGGATAGCAATTGTAGCAATTGTATTGGTGGAAACTGAAGTGAATATTTAGGAACTCTGGAGTTTATCTGAATGCTTGCAACTTACAGGAGATAGCCTGGCTGGTCAACTGCAGTTATTTTGGGTCAAATTTAGCCATCAATGAGGTGGCAGCTACGCAGCACTCAGCACCCTCTGCTCCAGTCCCACGGCAGGCAGCCATGGGAACAGCAACTTCTATTTCTGTAGCAGTTTGTTGGAGCGAGGGTGACCAATAAACATCTTGTCCTCAAAATACTGAAGTTCTGTGTTTTGGCTGTGGATTGTTACTCTTATCACTGAGTTGAGGACTTGGAGGTTAACAGCCATTGTTTCAATTCCCAGGAGCTGAAGTAGCTTCCAGGAGATTTAATGGAGCCGCCCCATTTTCTGAGACATTTGGGAATTGAAAACACATATACAAGGGAATTTAGAAAGCTGCCGTGTGTGACTAGAGAAAAACTCAGACAGGACCTGAGAACACATTAAGCTTTCAACTCAGGCTGATCCCTAACACAGAGACACCCTATAAGGCTTTAAAAGAAACTTCATCAAATCCTTGGGGAAAAAGACAGTCTGATTTCCAAAGTTACCATAGCATAAGTTTCAAATGTCTCACTTTTAACAAAAATCACAAGAAACAATGGTCATTCAAAGGAATAAAATACATTAACAAAAAACATACTGGAAGAAAGCCAGATGTTTGACTTAATAAACAGCTTAAAACATCTGTTTTAAAGATGCCCAAAGAGATAAGACATGCCTAAATACAGAAAAATATATAAACAAAATGATAATATAAATATAAATTATAAAAAAATCCCTCCCCCTAACATTCTGAAGCTTAAAAGTAGAATAACTGAAATGAAAAAAAAAATGCACTGTACTGGAGGGATTCAAAGGCATATTTGTATAAGTCAAAGAAAGAATGCATGAACTTGAAACTAGGCCAGCTGAAATGATTGAGTCTGAAAAACAAAAGGAATGAGGAAAATTGAACAAAACCAAAAGTGTCTGTGGAACATTATCAATATCAAGTGGAGCAGGATATATCTTGTGGGACTTAATGGGAGGCGGAAGACAGAAAAAAAAGAAAAGGAAAGAAAAAAAGAAAAAGTGGGAGGGAGGGAGGAAGGAAAGAAGGGAAGAACGAAAGAAGGAAGGAAGGAAAGAAAAAGGGAGGAAGGGAAAGAAAAAAATTTCAAAAAATAACAGCTGAAAACTTGTGGGACTAACAGGAGGGGGAAAACAGAAGGAGGAAACAAAAGGAGGGAGGGAAAGAAAATTTGAAAAAAATAACAGCTGAAAACTCTTGTGGGACTTACAGGAAGGAGAAGACAGAAAGAAGAAAGAGAAAGAAAAAAGAAGCAAGAAAGGAAGGGAGGGAAGAAAATTTGAAAAAACAGCTTGAAACTTTCCAACTCTAAATAGGATACACCCAAAGAAATCCATACCTAGACACATTATAATCAGAGTCCCAAAAGCTAAAGAGAAAATCTTACACAGGAATAGAGAAGCAATTTGTCATATATGAGGGATCCTCAGTTAGATTACCATCTGATTACCCATCAGAAACCTTAGAAGCCAAAAAGCAGTGGACTGGCATTTAAAGGTCAGGGGGCTGAGGGAGTGGGGACTGCTAACTAAGAGTTTTATATCCACCAAAACTGTCCTTCAAAATGAGGGAGAAATTAAGACATTCCCAGACCGCCCCCCAACCCCCCCCAAAAAAAACATAACTGAAGAAGTTTATTACCATTAGGCCTACCCAGCAAGAAATGCCAAAAGGGGTCTTTCAGGTTGAAATGAAAGTAAGGTAGACGGTAACTCAAAGTTGTATGAATAAAGATGTCTGGTAAAGAGATATATGAGCAATAATAAGAAGTAGTATTGTAATTGTGTTTATACAGTTGACCCTTGAACAATATGGGCTGGAACTGTGCAAGTACACTTATACATGGATTTTTTCAAACACAGATCAAAAACAGAATATTCATTGGAGGAGAAACCCAAATATGCAGAGAACTGACTTTTCATGTATGTGAGTTCAGTAAGACTCACTGCAGGACTTGACTATGTATGGATTTGGGTATATGCACTGGGTCCTGGAACCAATCCCCTGCATATACTGAGAGATGACCCTAACTCCACATTTTGTTTTCTACATTGTTTAAAAGACAAATGCATAATAATAATTATTAACTTTTATTTTTTTGAGACAGAGTCTTGCTTACCCAGGCTGGAGTGCAGTGGAATGATCTCAGCTCACCACAACCTCTGCCACCTTCAAGCAGTTCTCATGCCTGAGCCTCCCATGTAGCTGGGACTACAGGCATCTGCCACCAAGCCCAGCTATTTTTTTACAAAGTATTTTTAGTAGAGATGGGGTTTTGCCATGTTGACCAGGCTAGTCTCGAATTCCTGGCCTCAAGTGATCCACCCACCTCTGCCTCCCAAAGTGCTGGGATTAAAGGTGTTAGTCACCATGCCCAGCCTAATGTATGCTATTTGGCACCCAATGTTTAAAGATGAAATCTCTGACATCAATAACAGAAGAGGGGGACAGACTCACTGCAGGACTTGAGTTTGCATGGATTTGGGCCTTTCGTATATATATTCATATATATATGATGAATTTTTGTATGATATTGAAGTTAAGTTGGTTTAAATTCAAATTAGATTGTTATAACCATCAAATGTAATCCCCATGGTAAACAAAAAGAAAATATCTATAAAATATATATATAAGGAAATGAGAAGGAATGAAAATGTTTCACTACAAAAATAAAACACAAGTAAGGGACTAATGGAGGAAAGTAGGGACAACCAAAAATTTTAAGGCATATAGAAAACAAACAGTTAAATAGTACAGGTGAGTTCTTCCTTATCAGTAATTATTTTAAATGTAAACAAATTAATCACTCCTGCTAAAACACAGAGATAAGCAGAATGGATTAAGGAGGGAAAAAAACAAATAAGCATGATCCAAGTATATACTGTCTATAAGAGACATACTGTAGATCCAAAGTCACAAATATGTTGAAAATGAAATGATGGAAAAAGATATTTCATGCAAATAGTAAACAAAAGAGAGCTAGGGTAGCTATACTAGTATCAAACAAAATAGACTTTAAGTCAAAAACAGTTACAACAAAGGACATTATGAAATGATAAAGGGGTTAATTCACCAAGAACATATAGCATTTATAAATATGCATGCATTGAACGTCACAGCTCCAAAATATATGAAGCAAACACCAACAGAACTGGAAAAGAAGTACACAGTGAGACAATAATAGGAGATTCAATACCCCACTTTCAGTAATACATAGGACAATCAGACAGAAAAGTAGATGACTTGAACACTATAGACCAATTACACCTAACAGACATATACAGAAAACTCTATCCAATTATAACAGAATACACATTTTTTCTCAAGTACACATGGAACTTTCTTTAGGATAGATACATTAGGCTACATACCAAGTCTTAATAAATTTTAAAACATCAAAATCACACAAAGTTTTTTTCTAACCACAGTACAGTGATACTAGAAATCAAGAGCAGGAAAAAACTTGAGAAATTTATAAATATGTGAAAATTAACCAACACACTGCAAAGAACCAATGGGTCAAAGAGGAAAGTATAAGGGAAATAGGAAAACACTTAAATGAATGAAAATGAAAACACAAGAAACAAAAGCTTATGAGATGCAGTGAAAGTAGTGCTCAGAGAGAGAGTTATAGCTGTAAATGCCATGTTTTTTAAAAAAGAAAAATAATCTAAAAATTCTTCTAACTTTATGCCTTAAGGAAGTAGAAAAGAAGAGCAAACCAAGTCCAAAGCTTGCAGAAGGAAGGTAATAATAAAAATTGGGTAGAGATAAAATAGAAGAAGAAAATCAGTGAAGGTTGATTATTTGAAAAGATCAAAATTGACAGACTGACAAAGAGGATGCAAATAATTAAAATCAGAAATGAAAAGAACGACATTACTGCCAACATTACAACATTGAAAGGGAATATAAGAAAATATTGTGATTTATATAACAACAAATTGGATAACCTAGAGGAAATGAACACATTCCTTCAAACATACAAATTACCTATACCTACTTAAGAAGAAACAGAAAATCTCAACAGCCCTGCAAGAGTTTGAATCAGTAATCAGAGATCTCTGAGCAAGAAAAGTAAGGAACCAAATGGCCTCATCAGTGGTGAATTCTACCAAGCATTTACAGAAGAATTAATATTAGTCTCTCAAACTCTTCCCCCAAAAATGGAGAGACAGGAACACTTTGTAAGTAATTCTCTGAGGCCAGCATTACTCTGATTCCAAAGGCAGTCAAAGACATTAGAACAAAGTTACAGGCCAATATTCCTTAATAATGTAGGTTAAAAAATTCTCCACAAAAGAGCAAATTGACCCAACAATATACAAAGGGATTATTCACCATAATAAAGTGTGATTTATCCTAGGAATGTAAGGGTGCACCAACATAAGAATATCAATGTTATGTATTAATAAAACAAAGGGTGAAAAACCCACATAATCATTTCAATGAATGCCAGAAAGTCATTTGACTAAAGCACAGCACTTTCATAATAAAAGACTTCATAAAAGTAGGAATAGAATGACATTCCTCAACATGATAGAGTGTGCTTATGAAAACCACATTATACCAATGGTGAGTGCCTGAAAGCATTCCCCCTAAGATTAGGAACAAGACAAAGATTCCCACTTTCACTACTGGTATTCAACATGGTACTGGAAGTTACGGCCAGAGCTATTAGACAAGAAAAAATAAATAAAAACCATCCATAGACCAGGTGTAGTGGCTCACACCTCTAATTCCAACACTTTGGGAGGCCAAGGTGGGTGGATCACCTGAGGTCAGGAGTTCGTGCCCAGCCTGGCCAACATGGTGAAACCCCATCTCTACTAAAAATACAAAAATTAGTTAGCTGTGGTGGTGTGCACCTGTAATCCCAGCCACTTGGGAGGCTGAGGCAGGAGAATCGCTTGGACCTGAGAAGCGGAGGTTGCAGTGAGCCAACATTGCACCACTGCACTCCAGCCTGGTCAACAGAGTGAGACTCTGTCACAAAAAAATATATATATAGTAGAAAGGAAAAGGTAAAACTATCTTTATTTGCAGATCACATGATTCTATATAGAGAAAATTCCAAAGAATCCAAGAGAAAGCTGCTAGAGCTGATAAACAAATTCAGCAAAGTTGTAGGGTACAAGATCAACAAATAAAAGTTGTGTTTCTATATACAGGCAAAAACAAAACAAAACAAGCAAACAAAAACAAAACATAAATTAGGAGAGCAGTACCATTTACAATAACCCCTGAAAAAATTGAATACCTAGGAATAAATTTAATTAAGGAGGTTAAAAACTTGTATTCTGAAAACTATAAAACATTGCTGAAAGAAACTGGAAAAGATCCAAAGAAATTTTTTTTTAAATCCCCTGTATATGCATAGGAAGACAACAATGCTAGGATGCCAATACTATGAAAAATGATCTACATATTTAATGCAGTCACTATTAAAATTCCACCAGCCTTTTTCACAGAAATAGAAAAGCTGATTCTCAAATTCATATGGAATTCCAAGGGGATCCAAATAGCCAAAACAATCTTGAAAGCAAAGAATAATATTGGAGGACTCACACTTCCTGACTTTGAAACTTACTACAAAGCTGCAGCAATTAATGCTGTATGGTGGTGACAAAAGGACAGACATATAGACCAATAAAATAGAGACCTCAGAAACAAACCCTCACATATCTGATCCATTGATTTTTGACAAGGGTGCTATGACCATTCATGTGGAAAAGGACTGTCTTTCAACAAACAGTGCTAGAGAAACGGAATATCCACATGCAAAATAATGAAGTTGGACCCAAATTTAACTCAAAGTAGATCAAATACCTCAATGTAAGTGCTAAATCTACAAAACTCTTAGAAGAAACATGGGAAATCTTCAAGACATTGGATTTAGCAATGATTTCTTGGATATAACACCAAAAGCACAAGTGAAAAAAGAATAAACAAATTGGACTTTATCAAAATTAAAATATTTTGTATGTGAAAGGACAATATAAGAGACTAAAAAGGCAACCCATGGAATGGAAGAAAGTATTGGAAATAATATCAGATAAGGGATTAATATCCAGAATATATAAAGGACTCCTACAACTCAACAATAACAAAATTAATCAACTGAATTAAAAAATGAGCAATTATCATAAATAGACACTTCTCAAGGAAGATATACAAAGCGTCAATAAGCACACAAAAAGGTGTTCAACATCACTAATCATTAGTGCGATGCACATCAAAACACAATGAGATACCACTTCACACCCAGTAGTTTGGGTATTACAAAAAAACAAAAAATAAGTGTTGGTGAGGATGTGGAGAAATTAGAACCCTTGTGCATTGCTAATGAGAATGTAAAATGATGCAGCCATTGTGGAAAACAGTAGTGAGGCTCCTCAAAAAAACCCAAAATTATTATACGATCCAGCAATTCCACTTCTAGGTATGTGCCTAAAAGAATTAAAGCAGCAACTCAGACAGACACTTGTACACCAGTATTTCACAGCAGCATTATTCACAATAGCCAAAATTTGGAAACAGCCCAAATGTATATTGATAGATGAATGGATAAACAAAATTATATATATATACACACACATATATATATATATCACATTGTATATATACATACAATGAAATGTTATTCAGTTTTGAAAACGAAACATTCAGATACAGGCTTCAACTTGGATAAACCTTGAAACATTATGCTAAGTGAAATAAGGCAGACACACAAAGACAAATATTGTATGTTTCCAGTCATATGAGGTACCTAGAATAGGCAAATCTGTAGAGATAGACAGTAGAATAGTAGTTATGAGAGCCTGGGGAGAGGGAGGTGGGCAATGAGGAGCTATTGTTGGATGGTTACAGAGTTTCAGTTGAGGTGATGTAAAGATCTGGAGATAGATACTGGTACTGGATGTATTGAATGTCACTGAATTGTACAGTTACAAATGGTTAAAATGATGCTTGTATTTAATCACATTTTTTAAAAGTTTAAAATAGGTAAGAGGAAACAAAATCAAATATCTCACCTGCCTCTATAAAAGTACACAGGGACATTTTAAGATTAAAAACAGGACTGAGGACATTATGAAATTACTGCAATTTAAATATATACTGAAATTCTAAGGCAGAATGCTGGAATATAGAAAGCATTTTGTTGTTTGTTATGATTGTTACATATTACCCTGAGCAGCATTTTTCTAACTACAATGAAATAGTGTAGGTACATTATCTCAACATAATACAGATTGAGTATTCCTTATCCAAAATTCTTGGGACCAGAAGTGTTTTGAATGTCTGATTTTTTTTATTTTAAATATATGTCGTCATATACATACCAGTTGAGCATCCCTAATCTTAAATCTGAAATGCTCCAATGAACATTTCCTTTGAGTGTCACTCTAATGCTCAAAAATTTTCTGACTTTGGAACATTTCAGATTTCAGATTCTCTGGTTAGAGATGCTCAATTTTTATGCTGTTTCAGTTAAAGTACTGCTTTCATAGAGTGTACATTACTTTCAACTTTGTATTTCTTATTATTTATTTTAAGCCAACAAAATTACTATTTAGTTAACATTCTGGTCATGTTAATTATCAAGAATAAGGACATAAGTATCATCACCTAAGATAACTGATCTATGATCTATGAAGCTCAGAGTTCCATTTCTGACCAAGGCACTAAGACTGGTTTGTTAAGGAATGGTGCAAAAGACTCCACAAAGCAACCCATAACTTATTTCTGAATCTGTCACCCACTATTATAGTGAAAGCATTTATATCCTTGACAGAATGTTCTCAGTTTATTACATGCATTCTGAAGTATTCAGCTTCAAGGAGTTATCCTTCATCAATTCATCTAGATTTTGATAACTGTCTTCACCTAGTCTTTGCCATTTGTAATTTTATATATGTTAATAATCTTTTCTCTTCCTCTTCATATGTACTGCCAAAAATGTTCTAATTCATCACAAATCACTAGCCTATCCCATTAATCTTGATGACTATCAAAATGTAGTCAACACTTTGAAAATATTTTAAGTCATTTTGCTTTTGTCAATTTCATTGTATCAAGCCACTACCAACATACTGGGTGTTAAATTATACTTTTTTGACCAATAACACTCCTCGTTTTACATTCTGAAATGGCTGAACTCTATTGCAGCTGTAAAGGTATAAGATCTGTTAAATATCAATTTCATACTATAAATGGGGAAAATATAAAATAGTGGAGCACTGACAAAGCTATCAAATTTATGTCCTGTACATGTTAGTAATGGTGTCATCTTATGTACCAGGAATAATTGCTTTCACGTATCTAAGTAGTACTGTGTGTTTCTTTTTCTTGCTCTGAAAATACAACAAAACATCTTACCAGCTGCTTACCATGGTCCAAAACCACACATTAAGGACTACCGCAATAAAAAGCTTTAGAAATTCTGGTAAACAAGAAGTTATGGCTGCCTGGCAATGAAATGACTAGGTTCCCAAATAATGCTGGATGTGGTGATTAAGAATAGTATAAAAGGAGTGCATACAGAGAATATTTTGAACAGGACAGGTCAATACAACCTGCAACACATTCAGCTAAGCAATTACTGTGATTGCAAACTCTAATAAATTCCTCTGCAAAGAGAGAATGTTTTGCAAACTTAGCAATGAACAGGAGTTAGAATGAATGGACATAAATTATTAAGAAGAACATAAAAGTCAAAGCCAATTAATCATTACATACATATATGTGAGACAGAGCAAGTAATTTAGCTTTTCTATTGTTTTTCCACAATGAATACTTATCAAAATTACTCCCAATAAACTTCTGATGCATTATCAGATACATGTGGCAAATTAAAAAGTAAATGTGGCCAGAAACCCTACAGATAGTTTCACTGAAATGGGGTAGTCTAGTGATATATTGTTACCTTGGTGACGACGGGCATTGCTTGGAAAGCTAGGACAAGTACATTTGTCCAGGTAAATAGATTAATTTTTCATTCAACAATAAATTTATTAATTGCCAACCTGGTGTCAGATGCTAGAACTACAAAAGTCTCTTTAAAAGATGTTTTCTACCACCTGGAAGAATGTGAATCTGTAATGTGTTGGGCATGGTTATTTCGATGGATGATCTAATAATTCAGATTAATGTCAGTTAGAGAAATTGATGTGAGAATTTGTGGAAATGGAATAGAATGTAAGCCATAAAAGGATAGATAACCCAATTCTTACAGAACTGTAACCAGACCTAGAATCGCTTCAACAGGTAGATTTCACTAGAAAACTATGGGCATTTTATTTTGGCCATTAAAACACACTCTCCAAGGGGAACAGAAAGTTGGCCCGACTTAGACAAAATTTAAATATATTAGTGAGGAGATTAAAACATTTTCATTATAAAACTCTTATGAGATTTGGATATCTATAATCTGTGCCTTTCTCCAGCCACATATTTGAAATATATATTGCTATAATCTTGGTTTTAGATCCAGAAAATGAAGAGTAAAGAGGTTAGGTAACTACCAGAGGTTATGTACACAGGTCATACCTAGTAGAGGCAGAATTTGAACCCCAACTATGCCTCCCTTACTCTTTTAGCCCTACACTAATGCCATGAGGCTCCACGCAATAAGAACAGGCTTACTTCAATCAGACGTAAAATTTCTGAGCAGTCTTCGGCCTGTGCAGTTATTATTTGTAAATAATCCATGCTTGTTTGCCTCATGTCCAGTTGGCTCACACTTGCTTGGCTCCTGCCTGGTTGATTCAGGCCTGGTTGGCTTACAACTCATTGGTTCACTTCTTCTTTGCTCGGGCCTTGGTTACTTGGGCCCCATTCACATATTCATGGTTGACCACTGCTTGGATGGCTCAAGCCTGTTTGGTTCTTACTTGATTGGCTAGTGCCTGGTTGCTTCATGCCTTGTTGCCACATGCCTGGTTTACTGGTGTTTGGTAGGCTTGGGACTGGTTCGCTGGTGCCTGCTTGTCTCATGCTTCGTTGGCTCCTACCTGACTGGCCCGTGTCTAGTTGCCCCATCACTGGGGGGCCTGGTTGAGATGGACCTGGTTGGCTTATGCCTGCTTCACTCAGTACCAATTGGTTCAGGTCTTGTTGCTACATGCCTGGTTGGTTCCTACCTGATTGCCGTGTGCCTGGTTGTTTCATGCCAGGTTGGTTTATGTCTTGTAGGTTTGTACTTGATTGTCTCATGCCAACTTGGCTCATGCTTGGTTGTTTCATGTCCACTTGTTTTGTGTCATACACGCTTGCACTCCATTGGCTTATGTCCGGTTGGCTCTTACCATGTAAGCTTAAGCTTGACTGGCTTATGCCTATTTGGTTAGAATCTGATAAACTTAATTGGTTCGCTCACGCCTGTTTGGTTACTACTTGATTCGTTAGTGTCTGGTTGCCTGGGGACTTGCTCGCTCATGCCTGGTTGACTGATGTGTGGGTGGCTCGGGGCTGATTGGCTCAAGTCTGTTTGCCTTGTGTCTGGTTGGCTCATGCCTATTTGGCTTGTGCCTGATTGGCTGGTGCCTACTTGTCTCATGCTTCGTTGGCTCCCTCTTGATGGGCTGTCTAGTCGCCACATCACTTTTTGATGCACACCTGATTTGGTCTTGTGTTTTTGCTTCAAGCTTGATTTTCTCGGGTCTAATTGGCTTTGGCCTGGTTGCGATGGGCATGGTTGGCTTAAGCCTGCTTCATTTAGGTCTAGTTATCTTATGTCTTGTTGCAGCATGCCTGGTTGGCTCCTAGCTAATTGCCATCTGCCTAGTTGTTTCACACTATGTTGGTTTATGTCTGGTAGGTTTGCACCTGATTGCCTCACGCCAGCTTGCCCCATGCTTGGTTGTTTATGTCCACTTGGCTTGCACTCTATTGGTTCATATCCAATTGGTTCATACCAAGTAAGCTTGTGCTTGGCTGGTTTATGCCTATTTGGTTGGAATCTGATACACTTGATTGGTTCGTGCCTGATTAGTTCATGCCCAGTTGATCCCTGCTTGGTTGGCTAAGGATGGGTTGGCAGACAACTGATTGGCTGATGACTGTCTTGATGGAACAGGATCCCTTAACTGTAGTGCTGTGGTGGGAGGCTGTTGGTGTTCCCAATTCTTCTCAACTTGATTTGTGCTTTGAGATACCCCTCTGTCAAGGTGGGAATTGGAAAAAGAGAGGATCATCTCAGGAAGATTATTGATGCCTCCGATTTGCTGGAGTTGATTTCACCAGCGATCACAGCTGCACGCTTGGCTGAGATTCAGGTTGTCATCTGGCCTTTCCCTGACAAAAGGGCGGAAGTAAAGGGAAGAAAAAAATGATCCTGGAGGAGCGTAATCACCAGCCCACCCTTGCATGGTCCCTCTGTCATAGTGCCGAAATAACAATGCCTGTATCAATGTGCCTACGTGCTCCGCCGTGTGGTGAGGGAGGGGCGAAGCAGGGCTCGCTTGACCACTTTATCTCATCCTCTCTTAAGAGCTTAAAATGGTGACAAGGCTAAAAGGCGTCTCAGAGCATATGCTTGGCACTCCCGAGTACCTGCTGTTTTACCCAATTCAAAGAAACTTGCCCTAACTCCACTCCCTTTCCCTACACCCCATACCTCAAATAATTCAATTCCTATTTCCGTCCTGATTTTTCACTTACACTGGAAACTAATTGTCCTGATGAGGAGCTTAAGTTTCAAATCCAGATAATACTTCTTTAAAAATAATCATAGCTGGGCTGGCCGCGGTGCCTCACGTCTATAATCCCAGCACTTTGGGAGGCAGAGGCGGGTGGATCGCCTGAGCTCAGGAGTTCAAGAACAGCCTGGCCAGCATAGTGAAACCCCGTCTCTACTAAGAATACAAAAATTTAGCTGGGTGTGGTGGCGGACGCCTGTATTCCCAGCTACTCAGGAGGCTGAGGCAGGAGAATTGCTTGAACCCGGGAGGTGGATGTTGCAGTGAGCTGAGATTGCACCATTGCACTCTAGCCTTGGCAACAAGAGCAAAAGAACTTCATATAAAATATTTACATATATTATATATATGTAAATATTTTATGAATAAATATATATTATAATTTAATATATATTAGATTGCAATATACATTAAATATATAATAATATAATATATATTAAACATATAGCTACAGCTACCATTTACTGAGTTCTTTTATGGCCTAGGCTCAGTGGAATGTATGTTACATTTTCTTGTTCAATCCATTATCAACCCTATTATCCCCAATTCTGAGGAAATTGACTCAAAAGATTTGGTTATCTCCCCAAGGCTTCATAAAAGTTGGTTGAGAGCCTGCATTCAGACCCAGATCTATGTGACTCACTTTCCAGGCGTTTCATTATTACTCTGTCCTGCCTCCTAACCGCATTCTACTCATTCTCCATACTCATATCTGTGAGGTCAGGCATTTTGTCCTTTTACCTCTCCCCTCTGCAGAATTCATTCTCCCATCATTTTAATTGCTGGCTTACTTCCTCAACAATATATATTATATAACTGGTTTTAATATTGTTTTAGATGGAATGTCTTTTATCTTTTAAATAAAGGAGGGAACTTCAGTTGAGGTTGTTCTAAGTCTCACACTGTGATAAGGGCTTTACATTTGCATTATCTCAATCATCAGAATAACCCTGTGATGTATGTATCGTTGGTCCCCATTTTACCAATAAACTGGAAGTTATATTAACTAAGTTCCCCAAGTATAGTAAATGGGGAATGGGGGTGGGGGTCCAAGGCTCATCCCATAGATAGAAGCATTCAATTTAAAGAGCCCAAACTCTATTAGGCCTATGCTGGCTATAAATTGAACCTAGAGAGCCTATCTTCTGACAAGCAAATCAAGTCACATCACAGAACCATGTCAAGCCTAATAAAAATTAGATGTAGGTATGTTGCTGCTTTTCATCTACCTTATAATAGAAATGAGAGCTAGTATTTAGTGAATTATTTCTGTGGTGTCTGGCATGGTTCTAATGAACACTCATATTAACCCAATCCTCATAACAATCCAGTGAGGTAAGACATAGTCTTATCCTCATTTTTCCGGTAAAGAAACAGAACCTCTGGGACACATTTAAAGAAGTCTCTAGAGGAAAGTATATAGCAATAAGTGCCCATATGAGGAGAATGGAGAGATCCAAAATTGACACCCTATCGTCAAAATTGAAAGAGCTAGAGGAGCAAGATCAAAAAAACTCAAAACCCAGCAGAAGACAAGAAATAACTAAGATCAGAGCTGAACTGAAGGAGACTGAAACACAAAAAACCCTTCAAAAAATCAATAAATCCAAGAGCTGGTTTTTCGAAAAGATCAATAAAATAGACCACTAGCCAGACTGATGAAAAATAAAAGAGAGAAACACCAAATAGATGCAATAAAAAATGATAAAGGGGAAATCACCACAGATTCCACAGAAATTCAACCCATCATCAGAGAATATTACAAACAACTCTATGTGCATAAACTAGTAAACCTGGAAGAAATGGATAAATTCCTGGACTCCTGTGTCCTCCCAAGCCTAAACCAGGAGGAAGCTGAAACTATGAATAGACCAATAACAAGGTCAGAAGTCGAGGCAGCAATTAAGAGCCTACCACTCAAAAAAAGCCCAGGTCCAGACGGGTTCACAGCCGAATTCTACCAGACACACAAAGAGGAGCTGGCACCATTCCTTCTAAAACTATTTCAAACAATCCAAAAAGAGGGAATCCTTCCCAAATCATTTTATGAGACCAACATCATCCTGATACCAAAACCCGGCAGAGACCCAACGAGAAAAGAAAACTTCAGGCCAATATCCATGATGAACATAGATGCAAAAATCTTCAATAAAATATTGGCAAGCCGATTGCAACAGCAAATCAAAAAACTTATTCATCATGATCAAGTAGGATTCATCCCGGGGATGCAAGGCTGGTTCAACATACGCAAGTCTATCAACATAATTCACCACATAAACAGAACCAAAAACAAAAACCACATGATTATCTAAATTGACGCAGAGAAGGCATTGGACAAAATACAACAGCCCTTTATGCTAAAAACCCTCAATAAACTCGGTATCGATGGAACGTATCTCAAAGTAATAAAAGCTATTTATGACAAACCAACAGCCAATATCATACTGAATGGGCAAAAACTGGAAGCATTCCCTTTGAAATCTGGCACTAGACAAGGATGCCCTCTTTCACCTCTCCTATTCAATATAGTACTGGAAGTTCTAGCCACAGCAATCAGGCAAGAAAAAGAAATAAAGGGTATTCAAATAGGAAAGGTGGAAGCCAAATTGTCTCTATTTGCAGACGACATGATAGTATACCTAGAAGACCCCATCGACTCAGCCCAAAAACTCCTGAAACTGATAAGCAACTTCAGCAAAGTCTCAGGATATAAAATCAATGTGCAAAAATCACAAGCATTCGTCTACACCAATAACAGACTTAAAGAGAGCCAAATCAAGAACGAACTGCCATTCACAATTGCTACAAAAAGAATAAAATACCTTGGAATACAACTCACAAGGAACGTAAGGGACCTCTTCAAGGAGAACTACAAACCACTCCTCAACGAAATCAGAGAGGACACAAACAGATGGAGAAACATTCCATGTTCATGGTTAGGAAGAATTAATATCGTGAAAATGGCTATACTGCCCAAAGTAATTTACAGAATCAACGCTATCCCCATCAAGCTACCATTGACTTTCTTCACAGAACTGGAAAAAACCACCATGAACTTCATATGGAACCAAAAGAGAGCCCGCATAGCCAAGTCAATTTTAAGCAAAAAGAACACAGCGGGGGGCATCACACTACCGGATTTCAAACTATACTACAAGGCTACAGTAATCAAAACAGCATGGTACTGGTACCAAAACAGAGATATAGACCAATGGAACAAAACAGAGGCACCAGAGGCAACACAACATATCTACAACTATACAATCTTTGATAAACCTGACAAAAACAAGCAATGGGGAAAGGATTCCCTGTTTAACAAATGGTGTTGGGAAAACTGGCTAGCCATGTGCAGAAAGCAGAAACTGGACCCCTTCCTGACACCTCACACTAAAATTAACTCCAGTTGGATTAAAGACTTAAACATAAGACCTGGCACCATAAAAACCCTAGAAGGAAATCTAGGCAAAACTATCCAGGACATAGGAGTAGGCAAGGACTTCATGAACAAAACACCAAAAGCATTGGCAACAAAAGTCAAAATAGACAAATGGGACCTAATGAAACTCCACAGCTTCTGCACGGCAAAAGAAACAGTCACTAGAGTGGATCGGCAACCAACAGAATGGGAAAAAATTTTTGCAGTTTACCCATCTGACAAAGGGCTGATATCCAGAATTTACAAAGAACTCAAACAGATTTACAGGAAAAAAAACAAACAAGCCCATTCAAAAGTGGGCAAAGAATATGAACAGACACTTTACGAAAGAAGACATATATGAGGCCAACAATCATATGAAAAAATGCTCATCGTCACTGGTCACCAGAGAGATGCAAATCAAAACCACATTGAGATACCATCTCACACCAGTTAGAATGGCGATCATTAAAAAATCTGGAGACAACAGATGCTGGAGAGGATGTGGAGAAAAAGGAACACTTTTACACTGTTGGTGGGAGTGTAAATTAGTTCAACCATTGTGGAAGACAGTGTGGCGATTCCTCAAGGCCTTAGAAATAGAAATTCCATTTGACCCAGCAATCCCATTACTGGGTATATATCCAAAGGACTATAAATCGTTCTACTATAAGGATACGTGTACACAAATGTTCATTGCAGCACTGTTTACAATAGCAAAGACCTGGAATCAACCCAAATGCCCATTGATAATAGACTGGATTCGAAAAATGTGGCACATATACACATTGGAATATTATGCAGCAATCAGAAATGATGAGTTTGTGTCATTTGTAGGGACATGGATGAATCTGGAGAACATCATCCTCAGCAAACTGACACAA